TCTGGATATTGAAAAGTTAGGTGTTTATTGCAGTCTTCACAGTCTGGGCTTGTTTGTATCCATCCTTCTTGGGAAGGCTTTCCAAGTATTCATAGGGAGGTGAGTATTCCTCTGGGTATCCTTTCACCTTTGGAGATAAGGATGCTTCTTTTCTCTGGGTATAGGGAGGGGACCTCTCACATGAGGATTTTATGATCTGCTTCAGGGGATGGTCAGTTCTTCCTGCACCTGCCTTTCCTCAAATTCCTTTAGCTTAAAATATTCGATATGCCAAGGTGCTGTATTTTGGAGTTGCATGCTCAGAACTCCATCACACTCAAGTGTGGAAACTCAGGTTAGCTTGCTTAGTATCATTGCATTATTCCTCCTTTGGAACTGTATGTATTATTTAGGAAAATGGCTTATGTAATTATTGTAATTTAATTTTTCTGAAATTTCTATCCCTTACGTTTTTAGAGATGCTTATATACATTAATTTTCAGAGAACTAAAAATATTGAATAAATACTGCTTGTTGCTTTTAAACAATCTATGGGGAGTAGAAAAATTTTGATTTTAGTATTGATTGTTTACTGTTTCTTGTAGAGATTCACAGTTCCTCTATACTTGATCCAAAATGTTGCCAGTGTCTTTAAGGCAAATGGTAACACTTGAGCCGGGGAGTTATTTTATTTTAATAACGTTTTTTCCCCAAAGCTGCATTGACTGAGGAGAAAGTCAGTTTTTGTAGCACATCAGTTTTTGTAGAGAATCGGTTTTTGTAGCACATCAGTCATTACTAAAGTATGCCTGTGTTCTGTTTAACTGCTTGTTTCTTTCTACTTATCCATTGCTATGGAATATATAAAAAGATGATATTTTTTTTCTTTTTTTTTTGAGACAGAGTCTTGCTCTGTCACCCAGGCTGGAGTTGCAATGGCGTGATCTCAGCTCACTGCAACCTCTGCCTCCCAGGTTCAGTTGATTCTTCTGCCTCAGCCTCCCAAGTAGCTGGGATTACAGGCACGTGCCACCACACCCCGCTACTTTTTGTAGTTTTAGTAGAGATGGGGTTTCACCATGTTGGTCAGGATGGTCTTGAACTTCTGACTTCAGGTGATCTGCCCGCCTTGGCCTCCCAAAGTACTGTGATTATAGACATGAGCCACCACACCCTGCCAAAAGGAAGATTTTATTATGGAAAATTTTAGCCAAATTCTCGTCTCTAAAATGTTTAAAATTTTAATTCAAAGGCAGTTAGTAGGTATTGTTAACAACAAAACTACCTGTTTTTATTTTATTTATTTACTTATTTTTTGAGATGGAGTCTCGCTCTCTCGCCCCGGCTAGAGTACGGTGGTACGATCTCGGCTCACTGAGAGCTCTGCCTCCAGGTTTACGCCATTCTCCTGCCTCAGCCTCCCGAGTAGCTGGGACTATAGGCGCCTGCCACCTCGCCCGGCTAGTTTTTTTGTATTTTGTAGTAGAGACGGGGTTTCACCGTGTTAGCCAGGATGGCCTCGATCTCCTGACCTCATGATCCACCCATGTTGGCCTCCCAAAGTTCTGGCATTACAGGCATGAGCCACCGCGTCAGGCCAAAACTACTTGTTTTTAAAATTCAAACATAATTATGAATAGTTCAGCAATTAATAAAATGAATGTTTAAGTAATGCTTAAGCCCATTTTTCTGAGAAGGAGACAGGATTGAAGCTGAGTAAATATACATTACTGTGTTTTCTTTGTGTAATTCTGAATCTTATGTAAATGGATTTGTAGAATTAATCACTGTGGAAGGAATCCTTTTTGCCCTTCCCAAGTGAAGCTCCCATAGGTACAGTTGGGTTGTCCTTCTGGGTTGCTTTAAGGGCACTTTAGCAATTTTAAAAACTTAAGTACTAATTTCATAGCCAGTGTCAGCTGAATTTATTGAAGTAGGTCAGACTCTGGATAGGAACTTGTTTCCCAACCCTAAAGAGAGTCATTATCCATTCTTCTATTTGTTAGAGAATGGTAATAAATTCTTCCACATTGACCACAAGTCTAGAGCAATTTCAGAAAATCTAGATAGTTGGATTTCTTCAGGTATAGGAAATTACTTAAGATTCTGTCAGACTTTTATTATCCCAGTGGATTGAAAACAAAAACAAAACAAATAAAAAGAAAAGTCAACTCCTTTCCACCCCCAAAGAAGCCATATTCAATGGTTATATTCTTCAAAATAGAAACATCCCTCCCTGCCCCCACCCCACCCCCCAGCCAAAGAATACACGTGCAAAAATGCAATTAATTCTTTGGGGAATTCTTTTCTAAAAAAATTTTATTATTGTAGGTTTTTCTTCCTCTCCAGTTTAATTAAGCAAGCTTTTAATGTACTATATGCCTAGCAATATTTCCTTTGGACACTGGAAAATCAGTTTCTCTGCCTATACGATATAAAATTCTTATCTCGGTAGCAATTAAGAAATAGTATAGTCATATGATAAAACATATGGTAACTGAAAGTGTAAGTATTATGAGAAATCCATAATTAGTGATCAGTATGTTTTTAATTTATGAAGGAAGGCTTCATGGAAGATTTAGGATTTCAGATGATGCTTGAAGATTGGATATGAGTTGATAGAAAAATGTATAAAATATAGAATAAGAAGCACGAACAGAAACTTTGAATTTCAAAATGCCAAATAGTAACTTAAAGATGTTTTTGGGTGTTGGCACTGTGTTAAAGCAGCCTCGGCCAAATTAATTGGTCTGCCATCACAAATTAATGTTGCAGATCAGTAAGTGAAAAATCAGGGACTCACAAACTCAAGTCTTTTGAACTTAAACGTCCTTGCTGTATTAACATTCAGTGATAACCTATGAGGGTGGCATTGAGAATCTACCAGGTGCTATTACATTCTGAGACTATAAAACTTAATAAGACATGTTTCTTTCAGAGATCTAGAGAGACAGAGACACACACACACGTGTGTATACTATGGTTAATTTCTTGTGCAAATCACTCAATGTATATATGCTATAGAAAAGTTAATCTGCGTTTCCTACGATTGTCTCATAGTGGGAATATCTTCTTAGAGATTGTACATTTAAAGAATATTGGTATAATTCGACAATTAAATACAAACGCTTTACTTCATGTAATGTTCTAAAACTGGAGAAAGTCTGGATTGGATTTCAGTGAGCAATAATATGTCATTCTTCAATATGGCACACCTTCCTAATGGGTTAATTAGTACATTTGACTCTATGTGATTTTTACCTTACATGCCAGTTTAAAAAGCTGTGATTATACTGTACCTCTTTGGGCCTTCTCACAATTTTGTAGTCAACTGTTAGTTAAATAGTGAGTGGGTGTTTACTAAATTGAGATACCTTTATATCTTTTTTTTTCCTTTCTTTCTTTTCTTTTGAGATGGCGTCTTGCTCTGTTGCCCAGGCTGGAGTACAGTGGTGTGATCTCGGCTCACTGCAACCTCTGCCTCCTGGGTTCAAGCGATTCTCCTGCCTCAGCCTCCTGAGTAGCTGGGATTACAGGCATGCGCCATCACGCCCGGCTAATTTTTGTATTTTTAGTAGAGACAGGGTTTCACCATGTTGGTCAGGCTGGTCTTGAGCTCCTGAACTCGTGATCCGCCCACCTCGGCCTCCCAAAGTGCTGGGATTACAGGTATGAGCCACTGCACCTGGCCAGATAATACCTATTTCATAGGTTTGTTGTATTTGGCATATAGTAAGCACTATCAAGTGTTAGTTATTACAAATCTATTATCCCTTATTTGCAATTTTGAAATTAAAATAATCAAACCACAAAGCAACAGTTTTTATACTACTTGACAGCAAAGCCTGATCTATTTAATGTCTTTGTAACATATAGTCTGTTTTTGACCCTATACTTGACCTTATTTATATATTGTAAAAGTCCTTTGTAATGGCTGGGCATGGTGGCTCACGCCAATAATCCCAGCACTTTGGGAGGTCGAGGCAGGCAGATCACTTGATGCCAGGAGTTTGAGACCAGCCTGGCCAATATGGTGAAACCGGTCTCTACTAAAAATACAAAAATTAGGCAGTTGTGGTGGCACATGCCTGTAATCACAGCTACTTGGGAGGCTGAATCATGAGAACCGCTTGAACCCCAGAGGTGGAGGTTGCAGTGAGCCAAGATTGTGCCACCGCACTCCAGCCTGGGTCAAAAAAAAAAAAAAAAGTCCTTTGTAAAATGCAGATACTCGTGTTACTATTTTATGATACATATTGGGCAGTATAGTTGACAGCCTTATGAAGTAAAAATAAACTTTGATATAATTATTATTAAGTACAGCCAGCCCTTTGTATCTTTGGGTTCTGTATCTGTGGATTCAGCCAACCATAAATTGAAAATATTCAGGAAATAAAAAAGGATGATTTTGCCTGTACTGAACATGTAGATTTTTTCCCCTTGTCATTGTCTCCTAAACAATACAGTATAACAACTATTTATGTAGCATTTTACATTGTTAGATATTATAAGTAATGTAAAGATGATTTAAAGTATACAAGAGAATGAGCAGAGGTTACATGCAAATACTATGGCATATTATATAAGGGATGAGCATCCATGAAGTTTGGTATCTGTGGTAGTGGGGGGTCCTGGAATGAATCCCCCACAGATACTGAGGGATGATTGTAATGTTAACAATAGCTTCTATTTATTGAATGTTTTCTGTGTGCCAGGCACTATGCTGGGTATTTTATATCCATTATCTTATTTATTCCAGTAGTCCTCAGTAGGGAAGTTGTATTGATCCTGTTTTTAATGTGCTGAAGTTTAGGGAGATTAAGTAATTTGCCCAGTGTCACTCCAGGAGTGTGCCAGCAGTGCTAGGATTCAGACTTTACCTCTCGGACTTTTTCAGTAACTCCTGTGTTCTTTCTGTAACCTACACTACCTCTCTACTTTAGACAATTTTCATAAGGAAATAAAAATGACTGATATGCTAAAGTACATTGTTGTTTTGCTCTTTTTACCTTTGATCTTAGGTGCTGGAAAACCGCCTATGTTCGGTGATTATGAAGCCCAGAGACACTGGCAAGAAATTACTTTTAATTTACCAGTCAAGCAGTGGTATGATAATTTTAACTTGGTTTTCTTGTTTATCATGGTTAATATGGATTGTTTGAAAATATTTAAAAGGACAACATGCTATTTTCTTCATCTTGAACATCCTCATCTCTTGCATACTGGTGCCACATATGTGTTGCCTTGCATTTTGTAGGCCTGTCTTGAAATTTGATAGTCCTGAAAGTTAATTCGTATACTTAGTTAGGTGGGCTATGATGCTGAACTAGAACACTGATGATAAAACTCTGAATGTCTATATGTCCTCTGGACATAAACTATGAAAGCACCATCATAGGCTAAAAACATTTCTTCCCTGTTCCCTCATCCACTGTTTCTCTCGCAAAAGATCACTATGATTGTAACTATAGATAAAAATATAAGAGAGCTTTGGCTGTAGCTGATGGCTGAATTTGCAGAGCTGAAAAGGGGACCAAAGGGAGAAGCCTACAATAGTAGGACTTGTTTTCAACTCTGAAAATTTCACATATGTCCTTTTGGTTCACCTTTGAATACCCTGCATCTAGTATAGGGCATGGCACATTGTAGACCCTCAATAAAAATTTGTGGAAGGAATGAGTATTTAGGTGTTCATTTTCTTTCTTTTTTTTTTTTTTGAGATGGAGTGTCACTCTGTTGCCCAGGCTGTAGTGGAGTGGTGCGATCTCAGCTTACTGCAACCTCTGCCGCCCAGGTTCAAGCGATTCTCCTGCCTCAGCCTCCCAAGTAGCTGGGATTACAGGCACCTGCCACCACGCCTGGCTAATTTTTGTAGTTTTAGTAGAGACGGGGTTTCACCATCTTGGCAAGGCTGATTTTGAACTCCTAACCTCGTGATCCACCCACCTTGGCCTCCCAAAGTGTTGAGATTACAGGCATGAGCCACCACGTGCGGCCTAGGCGTTCGTTTTCATATGGTCTCATTTCCGTAGCTTTCTCTTTGTATTATGAAGGAGGAGGTCAGCTCTACCCTTCATTGGTTTTATGATACAGTATATAGCAAACCTTCTGTTTCTCAGAACTCAGAGAACTTTATAGAAATTTTTGTTAATTACTATTGCTCTCTATCATAATTGAGCAGTGGTGATTAACCTTAATTTTATATACAAGTCTACCTGAAGTATAAAATAGCAGTAGCTTAGTGGTAAAGAGTGTAGGTGCTAGAGTCAGACTGTCTGAGTTCAGATCCCAGCTCTGCTATTTATTAGCTGGGTGACCTTTGGCAAATTATTTAACTTTCTCAACCACAGTTTTATCACTTGTAGAATGAAAATAATAGACTACATATTTCACTAGGTTATTGTGAGGACTGAATAAAATGATACATGTAAAGCACTTAGGCCAGTCCCTAGCATGTAATGAACTCTCAATAAATGTTAGCTGTGGTTATAGCATCAGAAATTCATGCCTGTGTCATTTTTATTGAACATATGCTGATAACAGTGATGACATTACTTATTGACTTACTAGATGGCTGGTAGGTTATTCTCTTAGAGACTGGCTATATAAACTGTTCATATTATATTGTTGACTGCTTTGGCTACTGCTTTTATATAGGCCCTTTATCAGAGAGTTTTATGCAAGAACTTAATATTGAGTTTTCTATTGATAGGTTGCCCCATTCCCTAGTCAGAGTTTGGAGTGTTTCAATGGAAGAGGAACCCGAAACACTTTAAATGTCTCTTAGTAGGGGAATGATTAAATAAAATCTCTTTCTTATGTGCACATTTTTCCAGGCAGATTCCTAGAAGTGGAAGATCTAAAGTAACACCAGAATATCTCTTTCTACATACCCTGACCAACATTTAACAATACCAGACTTTTAAAATTGGCATTTCCTTGAGTAACTGTGACCTGAGCATCTTTTAACATATTTATTGATAATTACATTTCTTTTCAAAATTTCTTGTTCATTTCTTTCCCCCACGTTTGTAATGGATGATCATTTTTGTAATGATTTGTATGATTTTTAAATAGTTCTACTAATTTTCTATGCTGTGTAATGAATGACCCCCAAATGCTAATTGCTTAAACACACATTTATTATTGCAGTTGCTTTAGATCAGGAGTTTGGGCACAGCTTAGCTAGGTATTCTGCTCAGAGTCTCAGAAGGCTATCATCCAGGTGTCAGCTGGGCTGCAGACTTATCAGAGGCTCAACTGGAGAAGGATCCCTGGTCCAAGTTTCCTCAGCCTCTTGGCAGAATTAGTTTCCTTGCATTTGCAAGAGTGAGGGCTTCAGTTTCTTGTTGGGAGCCACTCTTGCCTCCTATAGCTCACATGCCATTTGTTGCTATGTGACTTCTCCAACATGGCCATGCACTAAAACATGCCAGCTTGCTTCTTTAAAGTCAGTGAGAGGCATTCTGTCTAGTATATCTGCTAGCAAGACAGATTCTTACGTATACGTGAAACAGAAGCACAAGAGTGATGTCCTGTCACATTTACCATATTGTATTAGTTAGATGCAAGTCACAGGTCTTGCCTACACTCAAGGGGAGGGGATTGTACGCATGCAGGGGTCTGAACACCAGGAGATGGTGTTCTTCGTGGTGACATTAAAGTCTCTCTACCACAACAGTATTGTACACTTTAATCATTTTCCTCGTGTGTGTGTATGAGTGTATAAAAAGTCTTTTTTCTGTTTGTCTTGTTCTTTAAATGGTGTCTGTTGTCTTATAAAACTTTATACATTTTGATATATGTAAGTTCTCTGAACTGTTCTTGCAACTTTTCTGTAACTTTGAAACTGTTTCAAGTTAAAAATTTTTTTCTTTAAATAAAAATACCAATTATGACTCTGTGGGTTGTTAGAGAAAACTACATCTTAAAGTTAATGGTAACACTCCTGAAGGTAATTTTATAATTTGTGTGGCAGCCAGTTTTTTTTTTAACTTACTAAATATATACTGAGATGTTCAGTGGGAAAATGCATTTCAATATAGAAATCGTATTTAGACAACTTTTCAGGTATTAATATGTCTAAAGTAAGGCCGGGCGCAGTAGCTCACGCCTATAATCCCAGCACTTTGGGAGACCAAGGCGGGCAGATCATGAGGTCAGGAGTTCGAGACCAGCCTGACCAACATGGAGAAACCCCATCTCTACTAAAAATATAAAATTAGCCGGGCATGGTGGCACATGCCTGTAATCCCAGCTACTCAGGAGGCTGAGGCAGGAGAATTGCTTGAACACAGGAGGCGGAGATTGCAGTGAGCCGAGATTGTACCATTGTACTCCAGCCTGGGCAACAAGAGTGAAACTCTGTCTCAAAAAAAAAAAAAAAATTATATATATAATAGTATATAAAGCAGGAGTATCAATTAATTGCTTTGTTCCTACTGATGTATTTTGATGCTTTACATGAAACACTTTTAAGCTATCTTCTTTTATGCCTCTTTCTTCTACTTTATGAATTTCCATAAGAAAGGGGAGCACTGTTACAAACCCTGGATTTTTTTCCTCCTAATCCAACCAATCACTTTATTTTTAGTATATATCGTTGCATGCTTACAGCTTACTGTCAGTGCCTCTTCTACTCATCTCCAGTGGATCTCAAGGTTAAACTAAATGAAAAAATAGGTTTTGTCTGTTTTCAGAAGCTGAAAACCAAATCAGGTTGTATTGGACAAAATGTGATTCTTGAATTACTTGATGGTTTTCCATTGCTGTATCCATCTTAGTTGTTTTGTGGCTAGCAGCCCATTGGAACTACTATTGAGCACTTTGTGGCAGTCACTGACCTTACAGCTTTACTTGTTTAACTCAGTGCTTAAACAGCTCTGAGGCTGATACAATAAAACTTTATGCTATGTAGTAACATGAATTTGGAAATGACACAATTGGTGCCTGTCTTCAGGTATCTCTGTCTAGACAAGTGGGTGCTTTGGTCTCCATTATTTGCCTGGCCCAGTTTCCCAGATTCAAGCTGCCAAAAGGGGCTCCAATTAACCCAGCGATTCTTAGACTCACTGCTTCTTGGCTTCAAATCCCAGCCAGTCGTGAAACCCAAGATTGTTCACATGGATGTTTCTGGAGGGACAGTGGCCACCAGCTGGTACCATACTGTAGTACTCTATGCCCAGATGTCTTGGCTGTCTAGCATGCCTTGATAATTTTAATCCCCATCTCTTCTATACAAACCTATGTTTTATGTAGCCAACACTAAGAAGAGTAGACCTTCCGAAGATGATTAATAGGTTATTTGATGGGATCATGTTGAATGCTAATTTAAAGAAATATTTTTAATTCAAAAAGTAGGAGATTGTGACAGTGAGGAATTGTGACCCATTTGAAATAAGTTAGGCCAGGCATGGTGGCTCACACCTGTAATCCCAGCACTTTGGGAGGCCGAGGTGGGTGGATCACTTGAGGTCAGGAGTTCAAGACCAGCCTGGCCACCGTGGTGAAACCCCGTCTATACTAAAAATACAAAAATTAGCCGGGCCTGGTGGCAGGTGCCTGTAATCAAAGCTACTTGGGAGGCTGAGGCAGAAGAATCGCTTAAAAAAAAAAAAATCCAGGAGGTAGAAGTTGCAGTGAGCGGAGATCGCACCACTGCACTCCAGCCTGGGTGACAGAGCAAGACTCCGTCTCAAAAAGAAATAAGCTTATGAACAATGGTATTTGTAGGTTATATAGTTTGGCTTCTACTGTTGTAAAGTATTCTTATGATTGAGAAAATAAATTGAAGAAGAAGCTGCCTAGTTGTAAAGGACATGATTAAGAAATTATGTTAACTCAATTTTTATTCCTCGAGTCATAATTGTGCATAGTTCCTTCACATTCTGGCCAACCAGAGGAGCCTATCAATTTGTGGACGTTAGACCTAGTTGTCTTCCTAAAATTCAGAGAACCTTGCATGTAACGAGGCTCTTGTTACATGTTGGTTGAATTGGTTGCAAACAGTCCTATTCTTTTAGTCGTTGCATATTTTTTGTTGTATAAGTGTTAGTCATTGATGAAGTCTACTAATAATAGGATGACAGTAAATCCCAGTTTGCCTAGGAGAGTCCTGGTTTGTGTCTATTGACATGGCTGAATTATTAATAGCTTAATAATTAGTAAATTACATTATTAAGCTTAAATAAATGATGTTAAATTATAAGTCTACTTCTTGAATATTGATTAACGGAATGGTGCTTTCTTCTTTTTTTTTCAGGTATTTTAACAGCAGTGATAACAATTTACAGTACTGGGGATTGGATTACCCACCTCTTACAGCTTATCATAGTCTCCTATGTGCATATATGTAAGTTTTTCTTTCTTAATGTAACTCTAAATTTTTATGCCCTTGGCAGATTTAGTAAGAAGCAGTGTGATGGGGCTTTCTTGACTAGCGGAGAGATTGCTTGTAGCTGCTATTGTATTTTTTTTTTTTTTTTTAATTTTTTTTGAGACGGAGTCTTGCTCCATAGCCCAGGCTGGAGTACAGTGGTGCAATCTTGGCTTACTGAAACCTCCACCTCCCACGCTCAAGCGGTTCTCCTGCCTCACCTCCTGAGTAGCTGGGACTATAGGCACCCGCCACCACGCCCGGCTAATTTTTGTATTTTTAGTAGAGACGGGGTTTCACCATGTTGGCCAGGCTGGTCTCAAACTTCTGACCTTAAGTGATATGCCCGCCTCAGCCTCCCAAAGTGCTGGGATTACAGGCATGAGCCACTGCACCCAGCCACTGCTATTGTTTATTACAAATGGGTTTTAAGATACAACTGTCAGCCGGGAATGGTGGCTCACGCCTGTAATCCCAGCACTGTGGGAGGCCGAGGTGGGTGGATCACGAGGTCAGGAGATTTAGACCATCCTGGCTAACATGGTGAAACCCCATCTCTACTGAAAATACAAAAATTAGTCAGACATGGTAGCACATGCCTGTAGTCCCAGCTACTCGGGAGGCTGAGGCAGGAGAATCGCTTGAACCCGGGAGGCAGAGGTTGCAGTGAGCCGAGGTCATGCCACTGCACTCCAGCCTGAGCAGCAGAGTGAGACTCCATCTCAAAAAAAAAAAAAAATAACTATCAAAGTTTGAACATTTCTATAATTTTTTTGGAGGACATCTCGCAAGAAATGCAAAAAAACTAGTTTTGAAGTAGAGATGTTATCCATATGTGTGGAATACTGAGAAATATATTAAATATGTGTTAGTTGTGTATAAGAACTTTTTTTTCTGGAACAGCTCAAAGTAAATGAAAAATATAGATCCAAATGGTTACTGACTAATCTGTCAAGTTAGAAACTAGAATAACTGTAGTGTTTCATTTGTGATTTAAGATCAAAATGGGAATTCCTCCTCCTTTTAAAGAAATTGAATAGTTATAGAAGATAAAGAACTTCTGTTTTTGTAGCGACCCAGTTCTACTCTGTAGTGATATTCCGTCTTAGATTTGAAGTGTGTCAGCAAAAATTTGAGGAACCTCTTCAAATATCCTGTGAACTCATCTTCCTTGTTTAATTTCAACTTTATAGCTGTGTGTCACTTCACGATGGGGATACATTCTGAGAAATGTATGGTTAGGTGATTTCATCATTGTGTAGGAGGCAAAATGGTATAGCCTACTATATCTAGGCTCTATAGCATAGCCTGTTTTTCCTAGGCTACAAACCTGTATAGCACATCACTGTACTGAATACTGTAGGCAGTTGTAACACAATGGTATTTGCATATTTAAACATATCAACACATAGCTAGAGTAAAAAATGGTAATACAATCTTATGGGATCATTGTCCTACATATGGTCCATTGTTGATTGAAATGTCGTTATGCAGTGTCGTTATGAGTGTATTTCATATTTGCAAAAATAAGCTTCATGGATTGAAAATAAACTCTCAAACATCATTACAGTATTCAGGGTAATTGTGATATGGTTTAAAATTTCATTTATCTTTAAGAATTGTGTTTAGTTTTATGTAATGATTTATGATTATTATAACTGTTTATTGTAGCCAATTGTTATGATAACTAAAATATTATAAACGTGATCCTCTGATCAACACTAGCATATTGCTTTTTACAAAGTATGTGTTTAGTACATGAAATGTGACCTGCCAGATTGTTTTTACACTGGAAGAACTGTGAAGATAGGGCTTATAGTTACACCTTATATAGTTTCGTTGGAAGATAAGCAATGCAGATGCTTTTTTTATAGCTTAAGTCAGTTTCACATGATTAAATAGAGTAAAACTTAAGCATCGACTCTGTTGCTTTATAAGAGAAATGGCCAATTCTCAAAATATTAATAAATTCATACATCTTTAAATATTCTTATGCTAAATGTTATGAGGAATGAAGTATCTGTATATATGCTTTGATTTGCAGGGCAAAGTTTATAAATCCAGACTGGATTGCTCTCCATACATCACGTGGATATGAGAGTCAGGCACATAAGCTCTTCATGCGTACAACAGGTAAAAGTGCAATAGGTATTGGATGTAAAATTTGATTTTTTAAAATTTTTGGACAAACTAGTAAAGGTACTATTATTGTTCTTACTGACTTTAAAATTGTGCAATTACACATACACATATATTTGTATACATGATCCAAGACCAAATGTATATGTAAGTTAAAACATGAAAGAGTAGAAAGGAATAATTCTGGGTGCTTTACATTTTTTATCTGACTTAATTCTTTGAACACCCAAGTGAGATAAATACTATTATTCTTATTTTAAGCTGAGAAAACTGAGGGGGGCACAGTTAAATGAAGCAAATAGCTTTACTTGAGGTCAGATAACTATAAATTGAATCTTTAGTTTTTTTAGGGTGTGCTTTAATATCCTAATTCTAAATCTCTTTCATTTTTTCTTAAAGCAAACCTTGCAGTTGTTATCTGTGTAGTTGTGCAGTTTCTAAATTCAATAATCCACTCAACAAATGTTTATTGAGCATCTGTGTGTGCTATTGCAGGAGTTTGACAGTAATAAGCTGAGATTTCTTTAAAAGCTTTACATGACTTATGCTTTAATGCTAGCCCAGTCCTTTTCCTTAATTAGTGGAAATGTAGTCAGAGTTTGTTCTCCTTACAGTTCATCCAGTCTTGGAATGTTAGGCCCAAGAGATAACCTGTTTTGCTTGTCTTTCCCTCTCTCACACCACTGCCCTTCCCCCTCCAATGCTTTAATCCTTTCTGAACCACATACTCACCATGTGATAATTTGGCTTCTGAACCAACATCTATACTTGCAGGGAACTCACAACCTTTAGAGACAGTCTATTCTGTTTTCATAGAGCTCCAGTCATTAAAAATGACCTTCCTAAATTGAACTTGCACCAGTCATTACTGATTCTGTTTTCCAGGGTTACAGAGAACAAGTCTGGTCCCTTATATCCCTAACATCCTACAGGAATTTGAAGTCACTTCTTCTCTAAGTTAAAGATTCCTATATACTTCAGCTATTCCTTAGATGAGCAGTTTGTTGAATGTGATTATGGTTTTGAGGTCTCTGTCTGACCAGTCCTTTGGGTATGTTCCAGTTTGTCAGTGTCGTCTTAAATGTGGCATTTGGAGCTGAACATATTGATAGATTGCAGACAGTTTACTGTCACTTACCTTTTTCTCAACACTATACTTAGTGAGGTATAAGAAAAAAATAAGCTCTTTAGACAGCTATGTTATACATCTGAAGTACTTATGTATGCATTTTTCTTTGTTTTAAAGGACTGCATGTTGAAAATTATGAATTGCTTTTCTTTTCTTTTTTTTAGTATTTTTTTTCAGTTTTCTCCTCACCTGGGTTTCTCAAGCTCTTTATATGTATTAATTAGCAAGAGTTTATATTTTTTCAATAAAGACTAACATTTTAAAAAGATTTTCTTACACATCACTACATTTCAGTTATTCTTTATGCTAGAAAATTTAGAGTATATAGAGGAAAAAAATATTTCCTTGCTTTGAATATTTTTTATTTTTAAGTCCAAGTCAGAACAAAGAGAGAATGTTGGATACATCTGATTGATTAAATATGTGAATTTGTTAGAGAAAATTAAGAGACTCCTTGGCAATACAGTGGTTGAAATTATTCACAGGTGAAAGAACTGAAAAGGGCTGACTATGTAAAGGACTTGTCCATAGTGGGGCAAGAACCTTGTGTTAATGAATTCTCAATCAACGTCGGAGGAAGGGAGGCAGTTAATGGGTAGCTGTAAATCCTGATGGACTCATGTTTAAAGTTATTTCCTTGTGTTTTCAGTTTTAATTGCTGATCTGCTGATTTACATACCTGCAGTGGTTTTGTACTGTTGTTGTTTAAAAGACATCTCAACTAAGAAAAAGGTAGGTTTTAAAGCAGCCTGACAGTTCATCTCTGAAATGTGTCCTTTATTAGTCTAACTATTAAGTATAGACCTTAGGGAAGCCATGCTTTCGGAAAGAGAGTAATTAGGAATATTGTATCTTCTATCAATTTTCACTTCAAAAACATCAACTTATCTTACAGTAATTATTTTAGTGTACTACTAAGATATACTGAATTTTGGAAGTTACATAGTACTGGACTGCATGCCATGCTGAATTTGTTACTTAACTGGTAAAGCTGAATTTTGAGCTGACTTGTGAGATTGACCAAACTGAAAGGCATTTTGAAAAGTTGTTGTATATTCTCAATTCATAGTTATCAAATATTATTTTTGGTCATTTTAGATAGGTTAACGTTAGATTGACTTCTCCAATTTGCATATCTGGAAGTACTTCCTCTGACAAAACCTTTTAGTGATTTTTTTTTCCTTTTTATGGAAGTGTCCCATGTCACCTCCATGAAAACTTCATTGTCTAAAGAGTTGTTTTATAAAAATTGAATATTTTATAAAAAGAAAGTATAACACCTCTGGAAAAGGGGAACATTTGCTAATGTGTTAGATAAAAACTATGCTTTTACTCTGCTTGAATGTGTAACAGATTACTTCTTATCTCACAATATTTTTCTTTACAGATTGCTAATGCGTTATGCATCTTGCTGTATCCAGGCCTTATTCTTATAGACTATGGACATTTTCAGTATCCTTTACTAATGTAGAAATGAAGTCAGTTGCATATTATGAAATCTAGACTGAATGTGTACAATGCTGTCATCTAGTAATGTCTTGATAGCGTGCTTATATGAACTATTTCACAATAATATAAAAGAATCTCTTCACTAAGCTTTTATTTGAAGAGTAAGGTACAGATTTATTAGAAGTAGAATTGCGCTTTTTCATATTGTTTCACTTGGGAACAGAATGTTGGTAAATGATTAGCTCTTTCTAGGGAGGTGGTGAAAGAGTGCCAAGTATGGTTAGACTCTTGTAATTCTAAAGTGTAACATGTCTTCTATCCTTTGCAAATGCTGTCTGACATGAGAAAAGGAGAATGATCTCACAGTTTTATGAGTTTTAAAATATTTTTTTCTATCAGATAGTAGTAGCCAGAAGCTTCAGGAAACTAAAACTGAATAATCAAAATATGGCTTTTGTATGTGTATTTTTTGATGACTAAAATAAGGAACATTCAAACAAAGCTTAGATTAGAGAATAAATTAATAAAAATCTGTATATATCTATCCAATTTGTCTTATAAGGTATCGAATATTATTACCTGTCTCCATCTCTCTTAAAGGAAAAAAAAGACGACATTACACAGCAACATGATTATTTAATTAATAGCTTTTCCTTTTGATGCCAGTCTTGTTTTAGTTATAATAAAACTAATAGGCATATCTGTCAAAGGACTTACAAATAAAAGATATTCAAGTCTGTAGTTGTTTTTATCATATATTTTATATTCTGTCCACTTTACTAATTTAGTTTTTTAAAAATTTTGGCATTTGGCCGGGCGCGGTGGCTCACGCCTGTAATCCCAGCACTTTGGGAGGCCGAGGCGGGCAGATCACGAGGTCAGGAGATCGAGACCATCCTCCTGGCTAACACGGTGAAACCCCGTCTCTACTAAAATTACAAAAAATTAGCCGGGCGTGGTGGTGCGTGCCTGTAGTCCCAGCTACTCGGGAGGCTGAGGCAGGAGAATGGCCTGAACCCAGGAGGCGGAGCTTGCAGTGAGCCGAGATTGTGCCACTGCACTCCCGCCTGGGTGACAAAGTGAGACTCCGTCTCAAAAAAAAAAAAAAAATTTTGGCATTGCTTACGGGATCATGGCTATCAAATACTCTGATAATATCAAGAACAGTGATAGAAAAGGAAAAAAAGTGATTTACCAGAGTTTTAAAACTATATTTACTTTGAAATATGACACTCATACAGAAAACTATGCAAAATATAAATGTGCAGCTCAGTGAGTTGGCAAACTACCACTCATGTCAAGAAATAGAACATTACTAGTATCCAAAAACTACCCTTGTCCACCTCCCCATCCTTCTCCCTCCTCCTTTCCAAATGGTACCCCTGAACTAACTACTAACACTATAGTTTTCCCCTTTTTTGAATTTTATATAAAAGAGACAACACAGTAAGTATTGTTTTGTGTTTGATGTTTTGGGCTAAACATTTTGTTTATGAGATGTATTCATGTAGTCGTGTGTAGCTGCAGTTTGTTAAAAATCTATGAAAGTGAATTCAGTATTCACTTTCATTGCTTTATGATATTCCATTGCATGAATACGTGTGATTTCTATCACTGAGAGAGTAATTTGGGTTGTTTCCTGGTTTGGGCTATGATGAATAGTGCTGCCATGAACATCTTATAAATATCTCCTTGTACACATGTAAACATTCCTCTTATGAGTGGAATTGTTGAGTTATAAGGTGTGCACATGTCCATTTTTAGATAATCCCAAATTGTTTTTAAGCAGTGTATAGCAATTAAGACTCTCATAACAATGGTGTAAGAGTTCCGGATGCTCTACATCTTGATCAACTGTCAGTGGTTTTTGTTTTAGCCATTCTGGAAAATTTGTAGTAGTATGTCCTCTGTGATTTAAATTAAAGTCTGAAAGCTTTCAGGCATATGTTACCTTGTAAAGATACATTTTTTTCTTTTGAGATGGAGTTTTGCTCTTGTCCCCCATGCTGGAATGCAATGGCGTGATTTTGGCTCACTGCAACCTCCGCCTCCTGGGTTCAAGAGATACTCCTGCCTCAGCCTCCCAAGCAGCTGGGATTATAGGCATGTGCCACCATGCCAAGTTAATTTTTGTATTTTTAGTAGAGATGGGGTTTCACTATGTTGGCCATGCTGGTCTCAAACTCCTGACCTCAAGTGATCCATCCACCTTGGCCTCCCAAAGTGCTGGGATTACAGGCATGAGCCACTGCACCCAGCTGTAAGGACACATTTTTAAATCATTATGTACTTTTCTCATTTGCAAAATGTGGATAATAGAAATCCTAATTTTGTAAGCTTAGTTTGAGAATTAAATGAATTAATATTTGTAAAACACTTAAGACAGTTCTTGGGAGATACTAAGCATTATATAGACATTTGTCGCTATTATTATCATTTTTATAATTTATTTGTGTAGTTCTGAAATTTTACAGTGATTTGTTTAGACACAGGTGTTTTTCACAATTGTTTTGGATATCCAAACTGTATATGGGTCCATACATTTTGAAGACTCATGTTCTTCTGTTCTGCTAAATTCTGTTACATTATTTCTTTGATGATTTTCTCACTTTTTTCTTTCTTGAGTGTATTAGTCAGATGTTAGATCCTTTGCATCTCTTTATCTTTTGTTTTATGGGTTGGATTGTCTTGAATTTATCCCCAACACTTCCATCGAATTTCATTTGTTTTGTTAGGTGTGTTTTTAATTTCTAATTAGAATTTGCTACTTTTTTTTTTTTTTTTTTTTTGGTAAAGTTCTTTACTGTTCCCTGAGTGATTTTAATTCTTTCAGGGTCGTTTAGTTTCCCTTTCGATTCTTTTTCTGTGATAGGTTTTCTGTAAATGTTTATTTGATCCTAGTGTATCTATTTTTATTTAAGAATAAGGCAAGAACGCCTGCATATGACTTCTATGTATCGTTGGTCCACTATAGGATCAGTGGGCGGCAAGCTGGCCACCACACGCTGAGATGCTTACATGTCAGAATGTGGAGGGGTTTGCATTATAGTGCTAACCTCTACACTGGCTGCCCTGGATAGTTTAGTTTATTTTTTCAGAAAAATACACCCTCTTTTGTTGCCTTGGGGTAAATGTTTGGCTGCCAGATAATCTTTGTGTGGGAGTGGGGTAAGATTTGACTTCTACCTCTAGGGATTTTCAGTTCATCTCTTGTTTTCTTCTGCATATACTACTCAAACACTGTAACCTACTTGGTGTTTCCAAAGTTCTCTAGGGTCTTGCAGGGTGGATTGACTTCTTGCTACCCTGAGTTTCCTCTGTGTATACTCTAAGCTGTGGCTTCCTTCATTCTATTTTATTTGTTATCACTTCTGTCTTCCAGAAATATGTTGAAATCTTTATCTATTATAACAGATCCTCCCGTTCTCTTTATGGCTGTGAATTTATACTTTTTGTTTGTTTGTTTTTGTTTTCTTGCTCTCTTGCCCAAGCTGGAGTGCAGTGGCATGATCATAGCTCATTGCAGCCTCAACTTCCTGGGCTCAAGCCGTCCTCCTGCCTCAGCTTCTCGAATAACTAGGACTCCAGGCTTGCACCACCACACTAAGATAATTAAAAATTTTTTTTGGTAGAGACAGGGTTTTGCCATGTTGCTCAGGCTGGTCTCAAACTCCTGGCTCAAGCAATCTTCCTGCCTTGGCCTTCCAAAGTGTCGGGTTTACAGGCGTGAGCCACTGCTCCTGGTCGAATTTATACTTTTTTTTTTGAGACGGAGTCTCGCTCTGTCGCCCAGGCTGGACTGCAGTGGCCAGATCTCAGCTCACTGCAAGCTCCGCCTCCCGGGTTCACGCCATTCTCCTGCCTCAGCCTCACCAGTAGCTGGGACTACAGGCGCACGCCACCTCGCCCGGCTAGTTTTTTTTTTTTTTTTTTTTTGTATTTTTTAGTAGAGACGGGGTTTCACCGTGTTAGCCAGGATGGTCTCGAGCTCCTGACCTCGTGATCCGCCCGCCTGGGCCTCCCAAAGTGCTGGGATTACAGGCTTGAGCCACTGCGCCCGGCCGAATTTATACTTTTAAATTCCTTTTCTTATTACTTTAAGAGTCTCTCGGGAAGGAGAGGAGGTAAACGTTAGTGCCTAGCTCACCATTTTGAACTGAAAATCTAATTGTGATATTGTTTTAATTAACAATGTTGTTGCTAATTAAGTACATATATTACTTTATACTATTAATACATATAATAGAGGAAGTGTAGTGATCTCAGTAAAGTTTTTTGTTAACTTGCTGTTGGAGCATTGTTTTATTCTCTAGATTTTGGTATGTTATAATAATATTGTGGAGTAATCTAACAGAAACAAAACTATGTTTTAAATCTTTAGAGCTCTTTTAAACCAAAACAAATCAGTTGCTGTTTAGCAGTAGATTTAATGTATTTGATGCGATTATACCTAATTTCATGTTTGTTTATCACTTCAGTACTTTGAATTTCTATTGGGAAATAGCTTTCATTGTATATGTTATTTTAAAATCACATAAGAGATATGCTATTAGCTTGCATTTCATAGAGCGTATCTCTTATGTGATTTGCTTTTTAAAAGCTCTGTCTTTTTAAAAGATTATTAAGGTAATTTCCTTGACACAGGAACATATATAATTCTGTGAGTCTTGGCTTTGCTTTGTGGGGTGTTCTTGGAGTATCTTGTGACTGGGACCTGCTAGGGTCACTGGCATTTTGCTTAGCTATAAATTATAAACAGATGGAACTTTACCACTCCTTGCCATTTTTTTGCTTTTTACTTGGCAAGTGTTTTAAAAAAGGCCTCAAAGGAAAGGGGTGAGTGACCTTTAAACACCAGAATCCAAAACTTTACTTCAGATAATGTTTTTGGCATACTTACTTGGAGTAAGGTGATCTTTCACTTTGCCTTTTGGTGATTTCTTATAAATACTTTGGCTATAGGGTATGTGGGAAGAGAGAGATTAAGTCATGTTCTGTGTTTTATTTTAAATTTTCCTAACTAGAGAAATATTTCAATTCATGCATATTTACTGGTAGTGTGTATTGGCTAGTTAGAACTTTGCTGTAGGATTTTATCACTTTAGAGCTTACTATGTTATATACTTATTAGAAATACATCCCCATTTGATATTTTTCTTCATGAGTGCATTCCCTTTTTCCTATATGAATGATATTTAACATAAATGTTAATTAGGATGGTGATAACAGTCCTTTTGTTGAAGTGCACATCTTAGCTGTTGTGAATTTTTTTTTACCTCTGATTTGAGCAGACTCCCATCTTAAGCCTATGTTGGTAACATAGATTTGGCATTACTATATGTTTGCATGTATTATGTTCAGTGAGACTCAGGTTGATTTTGCAGAATTACTAACCTTTCCCTATCTTACTGCCTACCTTTGTTTTTGTTTTAGGTTTGTGTTGCTAGTTAAGCTAGCTTGTACTGTTGTGGCTTCCTTCATCCTCTGCTGGCTGCCATTCTTTACAGAAAGGGAACAAACCCTGCAGGTTCTAAGAAGACTCTTCCCGGTTGATCGTGGATTATTTGAGGCATGTTTAAAAACTTTCCTCTTCTTTCTGTTACTATACCTTACCTGTAACCTTTAGGGGTTTCATGTAGAAGACACAAGGAACAGGAACTTCAACTACTTTCCTCCTGTAATCGTTCCTTGCCAGTTATTGCTTGATTGATTAATTGGTTGAGACAGGATCTTGCTGTTGCCCAGGCTGGAGCACAGTGGCTATTCACAGGGGCAACCATGGTGCACTACAGCCTTGAACTCCTGGGCTCAAGTGATTCTCCTGCCTTTGCCTCCTAAGTAGCTGGGACAACAGGGTGTGTGCACCTTGCCAGTTATTTAATCCATTATATTACCCCTAGCTCAGCTGGCATTTTTTAGTACATTACATCAATAGGTAATATTTATGCCATCATCAGATTCATAATTCAGTTATATGTTTTTGTAATGAAATAGGGTTTGTAATGAAAGACAGAATGAGAGGTTTCAGCTACAGTTTTAACAGCTGTGTAATTTTTTGGTTTATATTCTGTTTTCAGTCTTAGGAAATTATTTGTAAAACTAATAATCATGTTTGCTTCAGGAATATCTCATAATTTCTTATGAGATATATAACGTTCATCCATAGTAATTTTTAATGAGACTCTTTCATTTCATTTCATTTAATGCTAGTTTAATCACTCTTGTTAAACTTTTATTATGTGAATAATTTGATCATTTAGATTTGGTAATTAAATTAAACAAACCATTTTTCTGAAACAAAAAGGCCTTTTAATAAAGTTAGACAGAAACAACATATTTATAGATAATTTGCTAACATTTCTTTTAAAAAAAATTTTGAAAGCATATCTTCATAAGTTTTGAATATATAAATTTCTATAGAATATCTTTCAATGGACTTATAGGAAGATGGAACCAGCATTTTGAAAGTGACTAAGATGGGAGTTTGGTGTTGTGAAGGAACAGAAATGTGTGACTGTATGTCAACAGGATGATGGTAGTGATGATAATAATCATTATTGTTATAACCACCATTTAGCAGGTGCCAGACATTTCCATGTAATTTTATTTGATCTTTACAGTAGCTTTGTGGTAGCTATTGTCTCCACTGTACAGATTAGAAAACTGAAGTCAAAGATTCCTGTAACTAGCATGTAGCAGAACTGTGATTTGAACTTTGAAAATTGTTTTCCTAACCTGTTCTTTATATAACCTCTAACACTTACGTAAGGAAAAGTTTAACCCCGTATGTAAGCTGCCTAATTATTTGCCTTACCGTCCGTTTCAGAAATGGCATTTATCATGATAATTATAAAAATGAGTATCAGACATGTTTGATGGTGTTGCCAGTCTCTTCCATTCACTTCTTGCCTTCAAAATCTGAAGAGCATTTTCTTTGATCCAGCAGAGGAAAGTGGGATGGTATAGTTGTCAGTGATAGTTACGTTTTTGATGTTAAGTCCGCACAGCTGTAAGTCAAGCAGCTGTGTAGAGAATGATTTCACCAGCATGAGAGCTGTAGTTACAAACTTAATTTTGAAAGTGATCCTAGCACAACTGCTAATGTCTTTAGACTTTTTGATTTATTAGCAATTAGCTCTTGTCATTGCTAGTAGCTAGCAGGTTACTCTAAGTAAATTCAGTTGTGTGATAAAAATGGGTCAAATGTAATATGTATTCCATAAATTACAGAAAAAACATTTCTTGGAAAAATTTCCAAAGATGAATGACTTTAGTATTCAGGGATAGTGCATTGCTCTTTGAAAACTATTAAGTATTTGGGAATGTCTGGATTATGGTGGGCCAATGCTTTTGATCAACTGCCCTGCACAAAAATGAAAAATGCTTGAGAGAATGTGTGCATATATGTTCCTGGAGGATTTAATCTATTTAATTATAATTGTGACTAAAAGTTTCACGTCTCAAAAAATTTATTAGAGATTATGGGCTGTACTTCATAGGTTTTAATATTTGTTTCAATTACACCAGAATGTAAAGCTAACACATCTCTTTTAAGGATAAAGTAGCCAATATTTGGTGCAGTTTCAATGTCTTCCTGAAGATTAGGGATATTTTGCCACGTCACATCCAATTAATAATGAGGTAAGAGAAACAAAGTTTGTATGTAGTATTTTATAAGTTACTCTTTAAAAGCATTATGGTATTATTTCATTTATTTGGCATCATTAGGGAATGAGGTATTTTTCTGCTTCTCTTTTTTTTATTCTTTTGAGATGGAGTCTGGCTCTGTCACCCAGTTTAGAGTGCAGTGGCTTGATCTCGGCTCACTGCAACCTCTGCCTCCTGGGTTCAGGTGATTCTCCTGCCTCAGCCTCTGGAGTAGCTAGGATTACAGGCGCTGGCCACCATGGCCAGCTTATTTTTGTATTTTAGTAGAGATGAGGTTTCATCATTTTGGCCAGGCTGGTCTTGAACTCCTGACCTCAAGTGATCCACCCACCTCGGCCTCCCAAAGTGCTGGGATTACAGGCGTGAGCCACCGCGCCCAGCCGAGGTGTTTTTCTTTAGCGGATTTTCCACGTAACTTAGATCTATTGCTCTGTACAATAAAACTCTTCAACTTGAATTATTTTTATGTGCAAGTTTTTCTGAATTGTTACCTTGTTCTCTCCTTGAGCAGAGAGTACATTAAATATGATTAATATTATTTTGAAGAGTCATGATATTCAGTGTGTATCAGTCAGGATCAGTCAAAGAAGTAGGAGTAGGAGATCACTGCGTTGTGTGTGTGTGTGAATTTATGACAAGGAATTGGCTTGTACAGTAGTAGGGGCTAGTCACAAGGCAGCCAGTCAGGAGGGAATATCTAGGGGGAAGGAAGAGCAATTAAGACCCGGATGCTGTTAGGGAAGGCCTCAGCCGACTTTTAAAGGGCTTTGATCTAATTAAGTTAGGTGCCTCAGGACAGGCTCCCTTTTGATTAATTTAAAGTCAACTGAGTAGGGGTTTTACATCTGCAAAATTCTTTCACAGCAGATTAGTGTTCAAATAACTGGGAGATGAGATGGGTGTGGCCTCTCTGTCTTCCAAATCTTATGAGAATTTCCCTTGTAGCCCACCCTAACAAAGGCATACAGGAACGGAATTCTGCGACATTAGTTCAGCCTAGCCAAGTTGACAAGTCAAAACCTACAAGTGGGAAAATCAGTTGTTGTACTCGGTTATATACTTGTTTTCAGGGCTTTCAGGGGCTATTTCCCATAGTACTAAATGGTTCCAGGCCACTTTGCTTGTTGAGTCTGTCTGCTTTTTCTAGTTCTTTTTCCTCCCACCCATTAGCCATCATTAGGAGAAGCTCTAGTAGCTTCTTGCTCCCCTTCCACCTTGTTCTTTATGATTTACCATGGGCTTGAAAATCAGATAATCAACTTTTGTGAAATGACGGCTAGAGAGACTCTTTTGTGAGTAAAGTTTATGAATGTTTGTGTTACAGACATAGCATTATCTCTTATACTTCATTATATTTTCTTATTTTGAGTGTTTGATAATTGACCTTCAACTATGTATCTTTGTATATTTTCTATGCATGATATTAAATACTAAAATAACAGAAGCAATATTTAGGTTTATCATGTTTGGTCTATATTATGTAATCATTTATTTTTAAAGTATATATATTTATCAATGTATAGATTTTATATAAATGTTATTTCATCTTTAAATTTAATAAATAAAAGTATAGTTTGAAATCAACTTAAGTTGATAAATAATATGATCCTTATATTTAAAAAATATTTCCTTATTTAAGCTAGATTTATACCTCTACAAAGAAGACAAATACTTGATTTTTATTAATTTTTTTAGCTTTTGTTTTACATTTTTGAGCCTGCTTCCTGCATGCATAAAGTTAATACTTCAGCCCTCTTCCAAAGGATTCAAATTTACACTGGTAAGTTTTTCATTACTTTAGATACTTAATTCTTGCCACAACTGATCTTTTAAAAATTAATTTCTTACTCTGAACAGGATTTATGGGGCTGGGAAACAAGACATTCATTTATTTGGCCGACATTTATTGGATGTTTCCCATACTTAGCTTCTGTATGGGACACTAAGCTAAGCAATCAATAGTCTTTCAGTTAATTCAACTATTTAATTTGTTTTGTATTAGTTAATGAGGGACTACAAAGTAGAAAACAGTGGCAATGAACTTAAGTAGCTTAAATAGTTATGCTATAAAACAGATGGTATTAAGTTCTGTCAGGTACAAATGAAGTCCTAAGATGGTGTGGGAAAGGGAGATATTATCTTGGGGGCAGATTTTAGAATGCTGGTTAGGGCAAGAGGGATTTGAGCGCAAATTTGAACAGCAGGTTATATAGCAGAAGAGAAGTTCAAAACAGGAAGAAGTTGAAGGTCCATAGGTAGGAAAGGACACAGGATATTCTGGGAATAGCTATTAAACAGTATAAGTTGTGTGAGTTTTATGTATATGTGTTGAGAGTAGGAGAGGATATGGTGAAAGATAAGGGTAAAAATTGACCAAATTATTGAAGACCTTGAATATCTTGGTTGAAAAGGTTTGGAGTTTGATATATGTGCAAGAGAAACTAAAAAATATTTTTGAGAAGGGGAGGGAGCAGATCTCTGTTTTAGGAAGATGACTTGTGTCAGTTTGAAGATGGACTAGGTGCATTTTCTATAGTTTAGGATTTTTCTGAGTAGCTTTACAAAGTCTTCTTGGTTGTGTTTCTGTGGCATTTAAAATTTTGTTCCTGTGTGCTATGGTCTATAAAATGACATTTTAAAAATACCTTTTATCCCAGCACTTTGGGAGGCCGAGACGGGCGGATCACGAGGTCAGGAGATCGAGACCATCCTGGCTAACCCGGTGAAACCCCGTCTCTACTAAAAAAAATACAAAAAACTAGCCGGGCGAGGTGGCGGGCGCCTGTAGTCCCAGCTACTTGGGAGGCTGAGGCAGGAGAATCGCGTGAACCCGGGAGGCGGAGCTTGCAGTGAGCTGAGATCCGGCCACTGCACTCCAACCTGGGCGGCAGAGCGAGACTCCGTCTCAAAAAAAAAAAAAAAAAAAAAATACCTTTTAAACTATCAAGAACATTTAGTTTATGAAAACAGTAAGTCCTAGTGGACTTACATGAGGCAACATTTAGAGATTAGGGTTCCAAGTCTGGGACTGCCACTTAAGTACATTGGATAAAAACAAGCCAGAAAAGAACATAACAGTGAAATACTTCAAAAGTGCATCTCATTACCACAATGCAAAAAGGATAGTTTTATGTTCGTCTTTTCTTTTTAATTATCTTTTTATGGATGATTTGTGTTGTTTGATTCTGTGAATGGACTCTGAGCATACCAAGTCATCTGTTGTTAATATTCTGTTGGGTAGTTAGAACAGAATGGATATGGTGTGATGCTCTGATGTCTTCAGTAGGCTTAACCTGAAATAGCTTTCAAGCTTGTGATAGATTGTTGTTTTTCTAGGAAATAGAATGCTAAATAAATGTATATTTCAAAGATAATAGAATAGAATTTCAGAGTTTGAGTAACTTTAGCAGTGTTAGAGATGATTACTTTTAGGATTATAAGCCAGAAAAAACATTTTCTTTCTCTTAATTTTCTTATTTTTTTCAGTTTGCTATGTTTTAAAAGAAGCCATTGTGTTAAAACTTTTTAAATGTAAGATTTTTGTGATTTTGTTTTTGTTAATCATGCTTTGAATTCTTATTGTATACTTCTGAGAGTTTTAAGAACATTTTCCATTGTAATTATTTTTAAAGTATTTTCCTTTCATTCATGTTTGCCTGAATTATATCTCAATATAAATCTATAATTGAGGTAACTGATAGCATGAATACTGGTATATGTATAGCAGCAAAAGGATTTATATTTAATTTTTCAGGTATTGAGTGCCCTCTCATGTCAGGTCCTCCTCTAGGTACTGGCATGTAAAGGAATGACAGATGACATCCCTGCTCTTTTACTTGGGGCCTTCCATGCTAGTGGAAGGAGATGGACAATAAACAAAATAAATCCATTAACAAGAAAGCATATGGGAGTAACGAGTGCTATGAAGAAAGTAGTGTTGGCTGGGTGTGGTGGCTCACACCTGTAATCCTAGCACTTTGGGAGGCCGAGGCGGGTGGATCACCTGAGGTCGGGAGTTCAAGACCAGCCTGACCAACATGGAGAAACTTTGTCTCTACCAAAAATACAAAATTAGCCAGGTGCGGTGGCGCACACCTATAATCCCAGCTACTGGGAGGCTAAGGCAGGAGAATCGCTTGAACCTGGGAGGCGGAGGTTGCGGTGAGTGAGATTGGTGCCACTGCACTCCAGCCTGGGCAACAAGAGCGGAACTCCATCTCAAAAAAAAAAAAAGTAAATAGTGTTATGTGAAAAGAGAGCTGACGGAATGGGGTTAGGGGACACTTAGATTGAGTAAAGGAAACCTTTCTAGAGAAGTGACATTTGAGCCAAGAAGTGAATGACCAACCAGAAGGAGCCAATCACAAGAAGATCTGGGCCCTGACTTGATAGAATCTTATTTTTCCTTAAGGCAGGAACACATTTGGCAAAAGGAGAGGAATGAAGTGTGGCTGCTGTAAAATGAGTGAGGGAGATACAAGAGATGAGTTGGAAGAGGAAGGCAGGAACCAGATGTTGTAGGCATTGGGATTTTTTTTCTAAGTATAATAGGAAGCTATTGGAGGATTTTAAACAGGAAAATTACATGATCTGATATGGTAGCTGTTTGGAGAATGAACTATCAAGAGGCAAGAGTGTTACCAATTAGGAGATTATTGGACTACTACAAAGATGGAGGGTGGCTTAGACCACTCCTCTGCCACCCTTAGCAGAGGGGAATGGAGAGAAGTGGATGGATATTGTATTTAGGAGGTGCTGTAGAAAGCATTTGCTGATGGGATAGATGTGTAGCATGGATAAGATTCAAGGTTTTTGCTTGAGCAACTGGATAGTTATCCATATCTAATTTGCAGCATATAAACTTCTCAAAATAGATAATTTTTTATTTAAAACTCCAAATAGCACGTGATTAATTTATAAAACATTAATATATTCTATTGAAGTGCATGTTTTAAAACACCAAAATAGATTTGTTTTGCCGGTTTTAGATTCTGACCTTCTTGTCTTTCATGCTTTTAAATTTAAGTTGTCCGGGATTCCAAGGGAGGATGAATGTATGATTGTTGTGTCTGAGATATTTACTAGTTCTGTTTATTAATAACTGAGTTATAATGAACTTAGATGGTTAAATAAAGCTTTATAATCATTGTTTTTGAAAAAATATTTCAAGTTTTAAGTTTGATTAAAATATGCATACTAGTGTTACTTGTATTTTACTTCTAAATAGAAGCTTTAATGAACTTTCAACTTTCATTTGAAATGATTTTTATTTAGATTCATAATTGATATGCAATTTCACAAGTTGTTATATCTCATTTTCCCCCCTTTTTTCTTAAAGGTTAGCTGTGCACTATCATTCTTTTTATTTTCTTTCCAAGTACATGAAAAATCCATTCTCTTGGTATCATTGTAAGTAGAAACGTTTTAAGTATGTGTTTTTTATGTGTTTATCATGTAACTTTATAATTTACATACAAATATACATTTGAATGCAAAACAAAACTACACAAATGTTACATCTTTGCATAAAATGATTTCATAGTCATATTTTTTTCCAGAATTTTTGATTTTCTTTATAAAATGTATTTTAAACTGAAAAATTTTGGTAGAATATTATTGACATAATTTTAATTTCTTCCTGTTCCTTCACTTATATTTTCTACATGCTAATAAAAAATATGGCCTTCAAAGAGGTTTTCGTCAGATTGGAGCCTGTTTGTCATTTTTGCTTTTTTCATTTCATTGATTTCCACGTCTATTCAGTAGTCTTCTTCTTTCCATTTACTTCCATGGGGTCTTTTATATGTTGCCTTCTTTCTCTTTTTTGCCACAAACTTAGTTTAGACCCTACTGGCAATCTGTAATCAGACTACTTTGTTTTAGAAGCATTAAATTTTTTTCCCGGTGTTCATAGACAGCAGTGGATGACAGCTGGGAGTATGATATCCTAATGTTAAAATAGTATTTGCATAAAACCCTTTGGAATTCTGAAATCCTCCTCTAGGTCAGTCCCAACCCACTACTGCTCTACCCCTCACCCTATGTTCACTAGGATCCTGTGGAAGATACGTGTACAGAATGACCAATGACCAATGGCAGGCAGTATTGCTTTTACTAGGTGGAGCTTCGGACTAAAACCTTAGTGCAGAGCTGGGCTGCCCTGTGTGGAAGGCTTCCTGGCTCTAAATAAAACAGTCTCATATCATTGTAGACTGGGAAGACTGCTTAATGCCATCCCCTGAGGCCCAAACCTGAGTTAGAGCTTAACCACTATTCTATGAGGCTAGGCTGACCCTACACAAATCACTGGTACCAGGGGATGAAACTGTGGAGAGGCATTACTTTCAAACATGTATTAATATATTTCCCCAGAATTTATGCTCATAGAAAGGCAGCTCATTCAGGGCCTGTAATATGACCAGATTAGTTCTGAGACACTGAACTTCTAGGGGTTCGTTTTCTACAAATGCACCTAGATTATTTGTAACGGTGCATGGCTTTAATCTATTTTTGGTAAATGGTTTTACAGTTTGCATTAAAAGTTCCTTTTGGGCTAGGTGTGGTGGCTCAAGCCTGTAATCCCAGCACTTTAGGAGGCCGAGGCGGGCGGATCATGAGGTTAGGAGATCGAGACCATCCTGGCTAACATGGTGAAACCCCGTCTTTACTAACAATACAAAAAAATTAGCCAGGCATGGTGGCGGGCGCCTGTAATCCCAGTTACTTGGGAGGCTGAGGCAGGAGAATTGCTTGAACCCAGGAGGTGGAGGTTGCAGTGAGCCGAGATCGCGCCACTGCACTCCAGCCTGGGCACAGAGTGAGACTCCGTCTCGGGGAAAAAAAAAAATTAAATAAAAGTTCCTTTTGACCCAGTCCCAGCTAATTATACCATTAAACAAATATTTCATTCAATAAATATTTATTGAGTGCCTACTATTTTTCAGGCACTGTTTTGTGCACTTGCGATATATTCCAGACAAAAATTCCTGCCTTCTTAACTATCATTCTTAAGGATAGACACTAATACAAAAAAAATAATAATAAGAAGAAGAAATGAGTGTGTTAGAAGGTAATAAATACCATGACAGAGAAACAAAATAGAGTAAGAGTAATTGGGAGTACTGGAGGATGGGATGCAGGTAGAGGTTGCAATTTTATTTTATTTTATTATTATTATTATTTTTGAGATGGAGTTTTGCTCTTGTTGCCCAAGCTGGAGTGCAATGGCACGATCTCGGCTCACCACAAGCTCCGCCTCCCTAGTTCAAGCAATTCTCCTGCCTCAGCAATCATTAAAAAGTCAGGAAACAACAGATGCTGGAGAGGTTGTGGAGAAATAGGAATGCTTTTACACTGTTGGTGGGAGTGTAAATTAGTGCAACCATTGTGGAAGATAGTGTGGTGATTCCTCAAGGATCTAGAAGCAGAAATACCATTTGATCCAGCAATCCCATTTCTGAGTATATACCCCAAGGATTATAAATCATTTGACCCAGCAATCCCATTACTGGGTATATACCCAAAGGATTATAAATCATTCTACTATAAAGACATATGCACACTTACGTTTATTGCAGCACTATTCACACTAGCAAAGACTTGGAACCAACCCAAATGTCCATCAATGATAGACTGGATTAAAAAAATGTGGCACATATACACCGTGGAATACTATGCAGCCATAGAGAAGGATGAGTTCATGTCCTTTGCAGGGACATGGATGAAGCTGGAAACCATCATTCTCAGCAAACTAATATAGCAACAGAAAACCAAATACCACATGTTCTTACTGATAAGTGGGAGTTAACAATGAGAACACATGGACACAGGGAGGAGAAAATCACACACAGTCCTGTTTGCGGGGTGGGGGGTAGGGGAAGGATAGCATTAGGTGAAATACCTAATGTAGATGACGGGTTGATGGGTGCAGCAAACGACCATGGCACACGTATACCTATGTAACAAACCTGCACATCCTGCACATGTACCCCAGAACTTAAAATATATATATAAAAAAAGAAGGTGTTTTAAGGAAATGAGGTGGTAAGTTGCATCAGATGCTGCTTAATAGGTCAAATAAGATGAGGGCTGAGAACATATTTGCCTTAGCAATATGGAAGTCACTGGTGACTTTGGTAGGGCCAGTGTTGGTGGAGCAATGCAGGAAGAAGCCTGATTAGGTAGGGTTAAGAGAAAATGGGCCAGGCGCGGTGGCTCACACCTGTAATCCCAGCACTTTGCGAGGCCCAGGTGGACGGATCATCTGAGGTTGTGAGTTTGACACCAGCCTGACCAACATGGAGAAACCCCGTCTCTACTAAAAGTACAAAATTAGCCGGGTGTGGTGATTCATGCCTGTAATCCCAGCTACTTGGGAGACTGAGGCAGGAGTATTGCTGAAACCCAGGAGGAGGTTGCAGTGAGCTGAGATTGCACCATTGCACTCCCCGCCTGGTCAGCAAGAGCAAAACTCCATCTCAAAAAACAAAGGAAAAAGAAAATAGAAAAAATGAGAGGAGGAGAAGAACTAAAGACAAGTAGGGATAATGCATGGGTTTTTTTTTTTTGTTGCTGTGGTTTTTTTTTTTTTTTTTTGAGGCAGGGTCTTACTCTGTCACCCATGCTAGAGTGCAGTGGCGTGATCTCAGCTCACTGCAGCCTCCGCCTTGCGGGTTCAAGCGATTCTCCTACCTCAGCCTCCCGAGTAGCTGGGACTACAGACGCACACCACCACGCCCAGCTAATTTTTGTATTTTTTGGAAGAGATAGGGTTTCACCATGTTGACCAGGCTGGTCTCGAATTCCTGACCTCAAATGATCCCCCTGCCTTGGCGTCCCAAAGTGCTGGGATTATAGGCATGAGCCACTGTGCCTGGCTGGTAATTCATTTTTTAAAATAAATATTTAATTTTTAAAAATTGTGGTAAAGTACACATAGCATAAATTTTACATTGTGAGTTAGTACATTCATGCTGTTGTGCAAGCATCACCACTGTCTACTTCCAGAAGATCTTCATCACCGCGAAAGGAAATCCCATACCCAAAGCAGTCCCTCTCCATTTTCCCTTCCCCCCAGTCCCTCGAACCACTAATCCGCTTTCTGCAAATCTCTGTGGATTTGTCTATTCTGGATATTTCATACAAATGGAATCATATAATATGTGGTCTTTTGTGTCTAGCTTCTTAATGTTTTCAAGGTTCATCCATGTTGTATCAGAACTGTATTCTTTTTTATGCCTGAATAGTACTGCATTGTATCGATAAACTACATTTTGTTCATCATTCATCAGTTGATGGACATTGGGTCGTTTCCACCTTTTGGCTGTTGTGAATAGTGCCACTGTGAATATTCATGTACAAGCTTTTGTTGGAGTCTATACTCAGGAGTAGAATTGCTGAGTCACATGGCAATTCTGTATTTAACTCACTGAGGAACCACCAAAGTTTTCCACAGCAGCTGCACCATTTAGCATTCCCACTAATAATATATGAAGGCTTCAATTTCTCCATATCCTTGAAAGCACTTGTTATTTTCCATCATTTTGATTATAGCCATGCTAGTGGATATAAGTGGTGTCTCATTGTGATTCTGATTTGCATATCCCTAATGACTGATGATATTGAGCATCTCTTTATGTGCTTGCTGGCACAATATGTCTGTCTTCAGAGACAAGCCTATTTAAATCTTTTGCCCAATTTTTTTTTTTTTTTTTGAGACGGAGTCTTGGTCTGTCGCCCAGGCTGGAGTGCAATGGTGCAGACTCACCTCACTGCAACTTCCACCTCCCGTGTTCAAGAGATTCTCCTGCCTTAGCCTCCCCAGTAGCTGGGACTACAGACGTGTGCCACCACACCTGGCTACTTTTTGCAATTTTAGTAGAGGTGGGGTTTCACTATGTTGGCCAGGCTGGTCTTGAACTCCTGCCCTCGTGATCCACCACCTTGGCCTCCCAAAGTGCTGGGATTACAGGTGTGAACCACTGCATCCAGCCCCTTTGCCCAATTTTTAATTGGGTTGTCATTTTTTGAGTCTTAGGAGTTCTTTTTATATCCTGGGTACTAACCTTTATCAGACATATGATTCACAAATATTTTCTCCCATTCTTTGGGTTGTCTTTTGTACCCTCTTGATAGTGTTCTTTGATGCACGAAATTTTTAATTTTGATGAAGTCTAATTTACCTGTCTTGTCTTTCGATTGTACTTTTGGTATATATCTAAGAAACCAGTGCCAAACTCAAGGAAATAAAGATTTACCCTCATTTTCCTTCTAAGAGTTTTATGGAGTTAGCTCTTACATTTATGTCTTTGATCCATTTTGAGTTAATTTTAATTTTTTTTTTTTTTTTGAGACAGAGCCTTGGTCTGTCACTGAGGTTAGAGTGCAGTGGTGCAATCTCGGCTCACTACAGCCTCCACCTCCTGGGTTCAAGCGATTCTCCTGCCTCAGTCTCCTGAGTACCTGGGACTACAGTTGCCTGCCACAACACCTGGCTAATTTTTGTACTTTTAGTAGAGACAGGAGTTTCATCATGTTGGCCAGGCTGGTCTCGAACTCCTGACTTCAAGTGATCTGCCTGCCTTGGCCTCCCAAAGTGCTGGGATTAAAGGCATGGGCCACCGTGCCCAGTTGAGGTTTTATATATGGTGTGAGGAAGGTAGACTGTTCTTCAGAGGAGTTTTGTTGAAAAAGGAAGCAGAGAAATAGGGCAATAATTGGTAGAGAAAATGGGGTCAAGATAGGTTGGTTTGTTTAAGAGAGGAGCAATAAAGGCAGGGGAATGATGAGCAGAGAAGGAAAGCTGATGGTACAGGATCTTGAAGGAGGAGGAGCTGCTGGAGCACTGTCCTTCAGAAAGGGAGATGGGGTACGATCTAGAGCACAAATGGAAGAATTGGCATCGGACAGATGTGTGAAGAGTTCCTCTTTAGTAAAAGGAGTGAATAGGCTATATTGGTAGAGATGCTGGGAAGGGAGTAAATGTGATGGTGGGCATCTGTGAAAGTTCTCTTTTAACTGCTTCAATTTTCTTATTGAAGTGAGAGGGAAAGTCATTAGCCAAGAGTGGGTTGAAGCTGTTGGAAGTAGGAGGGAGAAGTGTGAAACATTTTCTAAGGAGAGACAGAGTGTAAACAGATCAGGGAAATATATAGTAATTGCAGGGCACTTGAATATCATGATCATGTATTTAAAGTGAGAGCAGTTAGTATGGGTAGCTGTTGTTCCCTAGAGCAGTTGTTCAGCACGGTTGGAGTAAGCACTGGTGGAAAGTTGGGTATTTCCAGGTTTATGGTTTTGTCTGGTGAGGATAACTCCCTTGCTTGAGGGCTTAAGAGTGAATGTATGAGAGTGATTATAATGATTGACCTTGGAATTTAAGATAGGTAAAAAGGGAAAAGGCTGTGGAAGCGATGAGGGAAAGTGAAAAGGTGGTAGGAACAATGGATCGAAGATCTTGGTGGGGTCAAAAGATGGTTGGAGTTGGAATATCTGAAAGGCAGGAGATAGTGGTAAGAGTCATGGAGGAGGTGCAGTCTAAAGTATGACCCTAAGGGACAGGATTAAAGATGAGATCCCTAGAAGAGAGGCATTCTAGCAAATGAGAGGGAAGATCTATGTATATTTTAAATTACCAAGAATTAAGTCAGTATGTAGAGAGTGATAGTGAGAAAGGAGTTGAAATCTTTGGGTAATGGAGGAAGCAGCCCTGTGGTTGGTCAGTATTTACAAGATAGGGAATAATCGGGGATAAAGTGTGATGACATGAGGTTCAAAGCTGGAGATTTTTAGGATGGAGAGAGGAAGAACTGGTAGGAAAGTAGTGAGGAAAATCAAGGAGGTTACTTCCCACCTCCAGGCCACGTCACTTGAAGACTGTGGAAACAACAAAAACAGACACAGTTGAGAGGGCAGAGGGCAGTACTGTCCTCAGAGGAGACAGCCAGGCATTGTTTCAAACAAGGTGGTAAAGGGAGGGGTTCAGAGAAGAGGTTGAGGATGTAGGGAATTTCGCTGTTTGGTGATGAATTTTAAGTACTTTGTGGTTAGGAGCTGAGTTATAATCATCTTTGTATTCCTTTCAGAGCAGTGCATATATGTAGTAAGTTTTTTTTAAGAGACAAGATCTCACTCAGTCACCCAGGCTAGAGCACAGTGACATGGTCATAACTCACTGCAGCCTCGGAATCCTGGGCTCAAGTGAGCCTCCCACTTCAGCCTCCCAAGTAACAAGTACCTCAGGCATGCATCACCATGCCAGGCTAATTTTTAAATTTTTTGTAGAGCTGGTATCTTGCTATGTTCTCTAGGCTGGTCTTGAACTCCTGGGCTCAAGTGACCATCCCACCTTGGCCTCCCAAAGTGCTAGGATTACAGTTGTGAGCCACTGCGCCTGGCTATAATACATTTTTGATCAATGCTTGTGTTTGGTAAATAAATATTGAATGCATAAATGGGAAATAATTAAACCAGAAAGAGAAAACAGTATTTATTGAGCACCTTCGATGAGCTTGCTGTTAATATGCATCCATTCTCAGGCAGTGAAATGGAAAGTCCTCCAGTAATTTCTTTTTTTTTTTGAGACGGAGTCTCACTCTGTCGCCAGGCTGGAGTGCAGTGGCACAATCTCGGCTCACTGCAACCTCCAACTCCCTGGTTCAAGTGATTCTCCTGCCTCAGCCTTCTGAGTAGCTGGTATTACAGGCATGCGCCACCAAGTCCAGCTAATTTTTTTTTTGTATTTTTAGTAGAGACGGGGTTTCACCATGTTGGCCAGGATGATCTCGAACTCCTGACCTCGTGATCCGCCTGTCTCAGCCTCCCAAAGTGCTGGGATCACAGGTGTGAGCCACTGCACCCCGCCTAGTAATTTCTTTTAGTAGTTTTCAATCAGTTTATTTTCCCAGGGTTTAAACCTCATATATTAGTTGACATAGGAAAAAGTCATCCTTCTAGGAAAGGGGGAGAATGCCCACATCTTTATAGAGCACCTTTTAAAATAAGGATGATAATAGTTATTCAACAACCACCATCATTAGGAAAGTTTATTGTATTTTAAAAAATAAACACTAGATGATCCCTGCAAAGAGTTCTTTCAACTACTTAAGAATATGGGGTACTATTATTATTATTTCCATTCCCACTTAAGAAAATAGATTCTTTGCTCAAGGTCACACAGTAAATCAATGGCAAACATGGGGGCCGGGACTCAGGACTTCAGACTAGCAATGCTCCTTCCTTGAGCATTGCCACAATTGAATCCTGAAGGTACTAGAACAGGAGTTGTGGTAAGGAGGTCACAGGGCTGAGAGCTATGACCCTAAACAACTTTTTTTTTTTTTTTTTTTTAATGGAGATGGAGTCTTGCCCTGTTGTCTCGCTCTGTCGCCCAAGCTGGAGTGCGGTGGCATGATCTCAGCTCACTGCAATCTCCTCCTCCTGGGTTCAAGCAGTTCTCCTGCCTCAGCCTCCCAAGTAGCTGGGATTACAGGCATGCACCACCAAGCCCAGCTATTTTTTTTTTTTTTTTTTGGTATTTTTAGTAGAGATGGGATTTCACCATGTTGGCCAGGCTGGTCTTGAACTCCTGACCTCAAGTGATCTACCAGCCTTGGCCTACCAAAGTGCTGGGATTACAGGCCTGAGCCACTGTGCCTGGCCCCTAAACAACTCTTTGATAAAGCCAGTGGTTCTATTTATTGGCATTGTGCTTCCTGTTCCTATACTACTTCTCTTTTCATGTAGCTCTTCCTACTAATTTCTTCCTCCTTTTAATTTTACTATTATCAATTTGTTTTCCTTTATCCTCTTGCCTCTCTTGTCATCTCCAGTGGCATGATGATCTTGTCTGCCATAACTTTAGTTTTAACTTAGTGGAGTAATATGTAACATGAAAGAACATAAAAGATGCTTGAAAACAATACTAGCAATTCATATTTACCAAGTACTACGAAATATACGACAAAACCTTCTCAGATTTGTTTATCTGATCCTTTTCTTAAGCTACTTGTTTGTGTGATAGAGAAAAAAAGTTCCATTAATGGCATACTGGAAGCAGCAGTTTTCCAATTATTATGAGAAGTTGACACCTCTGTGCCTGTGTCTAGGCTAATTTAGTCTGGACTGTTAACAAAATGAATCAGTAGTACATGTGAAGACCTTCCTGGCTTTTTTTAAGCTACCTCTGAAAATCAGACAGATAAAATGTGTTTATATTTTTTAAGTTAGGAGTTGAAATTATATTCTGTAATATTATTTTTTTTCTTTACCATTTTAGACCAGTCTGCTTAGTTTTAAGTGAAATTCCTTTTATGTCTACTTGGTTTTTACTTGTGTCAACATTTAGGTAAGTCATACCAATTTCCATATATTTACAGTATAATTCTTGTAAACTAATTTAAAACTTTTTAATAAAGTGGTTATGGTTTGAATTGATGATTCTCTTGATTTTTAAAAATTTTCCTTTACAGTCTGCTACCTCTTCTATTGAAGGATGAGCTCCTAATGCCTTCTGTTGTGACAACAATGGCATTTTTTATAGCTTGTGTAACTTCCTTTTCAATATTTGAAAAGACTTCTGAAGAAGAATTGCAGTTGAAATCCTTTTCCATTTCTGTGAGGAAATATCTTCCATGTTTTACATTTCTTTCAAGAATGATACAATATTTGGTAAGTTCAATTTTTAAGAAATGGCACCTTTTTTTAAAGCATGCCACTATTTAAAAAAATTATTGAAGTAGTGGTTTTCTTTTATAGCTTTTTGAGATATAATTCACATAAACCCACTCATTTAAAGTATACAACTTAGTGGTTTTAAGTATATGCACAGATTTGTACAACTATCACCATCATCTAATTTTACATTGTTTTTGTCACTCCCGGAATAAATTCTGTACCCATTAGCATTCATTCCCCCTTCCATTCTCACTCCTAACTCCCTTCCTTGGACAGCCAGCTTCTGCCCCTTTAGATTTGCCTACTTTGGACATTGCCTATAAATGGAATGTATTAGTTGGCTACAGCTGCCATAACAAAATACCACACTAGGTTTCTTAAACAACAGAAATTAATTTTCTTACAGTTCTAGAGACTAAAAGTTCAAGATCAAGATCAAGGGTTGGTTCTACCATCAGGGTTGGTTTCTGGTGAGGCCTCTCTTCCTGGCTTATAGAAGGTCTCTACTTTATATGTCACACATGGAGAGAGACCTTTGTTGTCTCTTCCTTTTCTTGTAAAGATATGAGTACTATTGGATTAGGGCCCCATTCTTATCATCTGATTTAATCTTATTTACCTCCTGAAAGGCTGTATCTCCAAATATAGTCACATTAGGGGTTAGGGCTTCAACATATGAATTTTAATTCAGTCCATACATGGGATAATAAAATTGTGGTCTTTTATGACTGGGTTCTTTCACTTTGTGTGTGTGTGTGTGTGTATACTTTTTTTTTTTTTTTTTTTTGAGACAGTCTTTCTCCGTCACCCAGGCTGGAATGCAGTGGTGCAATCTTGTCTCACTGCAATCTCTGCCTCCCGGGTACAAGCGATTCTCCTGCCTCAGCCTCCCTAGTAGCTGGAACTATAGGCATGGTGGCTAATTTTTGTATTTTTAGTAGAGATGGGGTTTCATTATGTTGGCTGGGCTGGTCTCGAACTTCTGACCTCATGATCTGCCTGCCTCGGCCTCCCAAAGTGCTGGGATTACAGGTGTGAGCCACTGCACCCGGCCACTTAGCATATTTTTGAGGTTCATTTATGTTATAGCATATATCAGTACTTTATTCCTTTTTATTACCAAATTATATTCCATTATGTGGATATACCACATTTTGTTTATCCATTCATCAATTAATGGACATTTAGTTGTTTCTACTTTTTTAGTGTTATGAATAGTGCTGTTGTGAACATTTGTTTACAGGGTATTGAGTGCACATATGTTTTCATTTCCCTTATGTGTATACCTGGGAGTAGAATTGCTAGACCATATGGTAATTCTATGTTTAACATCTTCAGAAACTGCCAAACTCTTTTCCAAAGTACAGCATAATTCTTCATTCTCACCAACCATGTGTGAGGGTTCTAATTTCTCCACATCTTTCACAGCATTTGTTGTCTTTTTCATTACAACTATCTTAATGGGTGTGAGGTGTATTTCATTGGAGTTCTGACTTGCATTTCTCTAATGACTAAAGATGTTGAACATCTTTTCATGTGCTTATTGGCCATTTGTGTATCTGATTTGGAGAAATGCCTATTCAAACCCTTTGCCCATTTTAAACTGGGTTGTCTTTTTATTTTTGATCTGTAAGAGTTTTTTAAAAATATATATTCTTGATATGAGTTCCTTACCAGATATTTAACTTGCAAGTATTCTCTCCCATTCTGTGTGTTGCCTTTTCACTTTCTTGATGGTATCATTTACAGCACAAAAGTTTTGATTTTGATAACATTCAGTATATCTATTTTTTTCTTTTGTTGTGCTTTTGGTGTCATATCTAAGAAACCACTGTATAACCAGTGGTCACAAATACTTACCCCTGTATTTTCTTCTAAGAGTTTTATAGTTTTTATATCTATGCCTTTGAGTCACTTTGAGTTAATATTGTATATGGTGTGAGGTAGGAGTCTGACTTTATTCAGTTATTTCAGTTGCACTGAATTGTCTTAGCACTCTTGTTGAAAATCAGTTGTTCTTAAATATAAGGGTTTATTTCTGGACTCTCAGTTCTGTTCCATTGATCTATATGTCTATCCTTATGCCACTGCCATACTGTCTTGTTTACTGTAGCTTTGTAGTTTTGAAATTGAAAATGCAAGTCCACTGATTTTGTTTTTTTACAAGATTGTTTTATCTATCTTACATCCCTTTATTTTCATATTGTTTTTAGAAGTTCATCAGTTTTCTCCCAAAACCCAGCTGAGATTTTGATAGGGACTGAGTTGATTCTGCATGTCAGTTTGTGGAATATTGCTTTATTTTTTTGAGACAAGGTCTCGCTCTGTTGCCCAGGTTGGAGTGCAGTGGTGTGATCTTGGCTCACTGCAACCTCTGCCTCCCAGGCTCAAGCAATCTTCCCACCTCAGCCTGGTGCATTTATAACTCGCTGCAATTAAGGAATAGCCGTGACTATAGGCGTGTGCCACCACACCTGGCTTTTTTAGAGATAGACTTTCACCGTGAATATTGCCATCTTAATATTTAGTCTTCCAATGAACACAGGATGTATTTCCATTTATTTAGATATTTAATTTCTTTCAACAATGCTTTGCAGTTTTCAGTGTAAAAATTTTGGACTTCTTTTGTTAAATTTATTCTTAAGTATAATGAATGATCCTAAAGCATAATTCTTTATGATGCTATTGTAAAGGAATTGTTTCTTAATTTCATTTTCATAATGTTCATTGCTACTATATACAAATATAATATTTTGGTATATTGAACTTGTATTCTTTGGCATAGGTTTTTAATGGATTTCCTATAGTTTTCGATATACAAGATAATCTGCAAACCATGAGTTTTACTTCTTCCTTTCTGATGTGGATGACTTTTATCTTTTATTTTTCTTACTTGCCTAATTACCCTAGGACCTATAATACAGTGTTGAATGTAGGTAACAAGAGTGGACATCTTCTCTTTTACTTGATGTTAGAGGGAAAGCATATGGTCTATCACCATTAACCATGATGTTAACTGTGGGCTTTTTAAAATAGATGTTCTTTATCTGGTTGAGGAAGTTCTCTTCAGTTCCTAGTTTACATGTTTTTATCATGAAAAAATGTTGGATTCTAATTCTTTTTCTGCATCTTTGGTCGTGTGTGTGTGTTTTTTCCTTTATTCTATTAACATGACGTATTTCATTGATTGATTTTTGTATGTTAAACTAACCTTGAATTCCTAGGATAAATCCTACTGGATCATGGTGTATAATTCTTTTTATCTGCCACTGGCTTCAGTTTGCCAGTATTCTTTTGATGATTTTTGCATTTATATTCATGAGAGATACTAATATGTAGTTTTCAGGTGATGTCGTTGTCTACTCATAAAGTTCATATATTTAAGGGACATCACGTTATATTCAAGGCTGTCTAAAATGCTAGATTGCAATCTATTTGAGGGCAAGAACTCTGCATTTTATACATACCATTTTATCTATAGCATCTATTAGTGCCTGGCAAAGAATAGGTGCTCTGATTTTTGTTTGTTGAATGAATGGATATTCATCTAATTATTATAATGAAAAATTAGAGGCCGCTCAATTGTCCAGTAGTTGAAAAATGCTACATGAATAAGTATATAAGCTCCACGGAATATTTGGCAAATATTACAAATGTTAGGAAGTTGTTGTTGAGACAGGATCTAACTCTGTTGCCTAGGCTGGAGTGCGGTGGTGCATTTATAATTCACTGCAACCTGGAACTCCTGGGCCCAAGTGATCCTTCTTCCTCAGCCTCCTGAGTAGCTAGGATTATAGGCATGTACCGTCATGCTTGCCTAATTTTTATTTTTTATTTTATTTTTGTTGAGATGGAGTTTCACTCTTGTTGCCCAGGCTGGAGTGCAATGGCGTGATCTCAGCTCACTGCAACCTCCCCCTCCTGGGTTTATGCAATGCTTCTGCCTCAGCCTCCTGAGTAGCTGGGACTATAGGTGCGTGCCACCATGCCTGGCCAATTTTTGTATTTTTAGTAGAGATCGGGTTTCACCATATTGGCCAGGCTGGTCTCGAACTCCTGACCTTGTGATCCGCCTGCCTCAGCCTCCCAAAGTGCTGGGATTACAGGCGTGAGCTACCACGCCCAGCCCAACAGGCTATACTTATTTATATTTTTGAGGACTACATAGAGGATTGCCCAAAGTACCCAGATAACAAAAAGAAAAGAATGACTAACTTTATTAGGGGAGCGTAGGGGAAGGTTTTAAAGGAGATATTTTATATTTAGATCTTGTAGGAAGACAAGGCAGGTATTCTCAGGGAAGAGTTCAATGGGTGTCCTGAAGGCTTTGCACTTTAGGTAATGACCATGGAGGATAGGGGTGTGGGAGGTAGGAAGTTAAGAGGTGAACAGGAAAGACAAGGAGAGGATTAACTTTATTCAGGGGTTCAAATGGAAAGTAGATATAAAGTTCATTTTTTGTTAGTACAGGCCCAGATTCCTGAGTGTATGTCAAAGTCTAGCCCTATTGTGATATTCACAATCTGGTCCAGTAATCTTAAGGTGAGGACCACCATGGACTCCCAGATTTGTTTGTTCTTTAATAAACAGTTTTTGAGCACTTACTATATTGCCAAACATTGTTCTGGAGGCTGAGGATACAGCAGTGACCAAAACTAACAGAAATCCGTGCTTCCATAGAGGTTGCTAGTGGAGAAATCCAGCACCAGCATATGTAAAATATATAGCGTGTCAGAGGGTGATAAGTGCTATGGAGAACAACAAAGCAAGGGAGAAATGGGTATGATTTGCAGGAGGGATTAATGCAATTTTAAAGTGGCAGGGCTTTCTTGAGCAAAGAACCAAAGGAAGTAAACTACAGATAATTGAGGGTAGAACATCCTAGAAGAGAAAACTGCAAATTCAGTGAACATCATGGAGGTCATGGTGATTGGAGCTGGGTAGGGGAAAGAAATAATAGGACCTAAGATTAGAGAGGTAACAGTGTAGTTTCCTATAATGGGACTAGAATCTGACTTACATCTTTAAAAGGCCCCTATGGTAGCTATGTGGAGGAGATTGTGGATAATGGAATCCATGAGATGATAGTGCTGTGGACCAGGGTAGCAGTGGAAGTGGTTAGAAATGGTCAGATTTTTGATATATTTTGAAGGTAGAGCCAACAGGAACTGCTGGGGTTGTGAAAGAGAGGTGTTCAGGATGACTCCAAGGTTTTTGGCATACATAACTGAATGAGTGGGGTTGCCATTTACCAAATTGAAGGAAGCAAAGCATGTTGAAGGAAATGTGTGTGTGATGGGGACAGTGGGGAGTATGGGGAGATCAAGAGTTTTTCACATTTAGTTTTAGATGCCTATTAAATATCCAAGTAGAGATATTAAGGAGTACCTGGATATATGAGTCCAGAGTTTAGCACAAGCTTGTCCAACCTGCAACCGAGGACGGCTTTGAATGCAGTGCAATACAAATTCGTAGTTTCTTAAAACCTGGAGTTTTTTTGCGATATTTTTTAAAGCTCATCAGCTGTTGTTAGTGTTGGTGTATTTTATGTGTGGCCTAAGACAATTCTTCTTTTTCCAGTGTGGCCCAGGGAAGCCAAAAGATTGGACAACCCTGGTTTAGGGGAAAGGGCCAGGCTGGAGACGAAGTTGAGTCTTTACATATAGTTGGTAATTAAAGTCATGCTACTGGATGACTCACTAAGGGTATGAGGATAGATTAATCAGAGGAATAGGTATGAAGCCCCAGAATGCAGAGGTAGGGGACATGAGGAACCAGCAAAGATGTCTAAGAATTAACTGGGTGAGGTAGGAGAGAACCAGGAGAGTATGATGTCATGGAAGCCAAGTGAATGAAGTGTTTCAGTGAGAGGGTTCAGAGAGTGATTTCAAATGCTAATGAGAAAAGCAGGTAAGGCTGTAAGAACTGACCATTGGATTTAGTACACTGGAGGTCATTATGGGTATTTGACCATAGCAGTTTCATAGTGATGGGGTGAAAGCCCAATTGGTAGGGTAGTGAATGGGATGAAGACTGGACACAGCATGTTTATATTTATAGGCAACTGTTTTGGGAAGCAGGTGTAAATAGGAGCAGACAAATGGGGTAATAGTTGGAGCAAGAGAGGGGTTTTGTTCTGTTTAACACTGATTCAAGATTGTGGTATTATGACATTTCAACCAGTCCCATATTTCTGAAGTTTGAAACTTTTATTTTGAAGATTTCATTCCAGATGTTTGCACTTCCCACTAAGGTTGTCTCAGGAATTTTTTTCCTTTAATGACACTGGGAGCCTTTGTTTGTATCTGCTTGTAAGCTTTCTTGGCACCTATCCTCGCTTTTCCATTTGGAATGATCACTGCATTACTCTCTATTTAGACCTTACCAATATTGTCATAATGTAGCCAACAGTTAAGGCATCTTTTAGGGTTCTGTGTCCCACCCACTTCATGGAAGTCACTACTGTTTTTCACTACTTGCTTTCTACATTTATTTATACTGCTAGTGTATACTTATGTACTGTGCTAGGGATAAAAATGAGTAAGATCTTGCTGGTCTTTGTCTTAAAGGAGCTCACAGTCTAAAGCCAGTCTGTTCAGTATGGTAGCCACTAGACATATGTAGAAATTTAAACATATTAAATTTAAATAAAAATTCAGTTCCTCAGTCACAGTAAGTACATTTCAAATGCCCAATAGCCACATGTGGTTAGCAGCTACTATACTGGAGTGCAGACAAAACATTTTCATTACTGCAGGAGGTTCTATTGTATAGCACATTGGCCTACAAAAGACACTAACTGATGACCACACAACTACAGTAAATGTGCTAATTATTTTTACTACTCATCTTGGTATTTAAGCCAGTGTGACTTTGTGATTTTATTTAACATTCTCCTAAGCAGATGGAAAACTCTTTGAGGCCAGAGGACATTTTCTTTCATGTGCCCTAATGTGCTTTACTCATTGAAAGCATTTAATGAATAAGAAATGTAATTTTCCATTTGCCATGGAAAACTTTTTCACAGATGGGTTCTCAGGATTAGAATTTTAAAAATTGATACAGAATAGATGTATATATTTTGGGGGTACATGTGATATTCATTCATGTAATGCGTGAAGATCAGATCAGCGTAACTGGGCTATCCATTACCTTAAAAATACGTCTTTATGCTAGGAACATTCAACTTATTTTCTAGCTATTTTGAAATGTACATTGTTAACTATAGTCAGCCTACGGACCTGCCAAACACTAGGTTTTATTTCTTCTAGCTACCTATATATTTGTACCCATTAGCTTAGAATTTTATATCCTGTTGGGCCCCAGGGGATGCTACATATTTAACCCTGACTAGCATTAATATTTGTCCCAGATACCTTTCTTCAGTGCCTTGTTGGTAGGAAGTATAAGACAGGGGTCCTCAGGTTTTGGCTACACATGGGAATCACTTGGAGAGCTTTAAAAAGTACTGAGGCCTGATTTAGTTGGTCTGGGGTGTGATGTGGGCATTGAGATTTTAAAAACCTCGCATATGATTCTAATAGGAAGTCAAAGTTGAGATACACCAGAATAAATTAGACCTTTAACCCTCACCTTTAATTCTGCTTATTTAATAGCTACAAGTCAATGTTTACAGTACATTTAAATTTCACCTTTTATACTACTCAGTAATCCTTTTTTTCCTTGCAGTTTCTTATCTCAGTTATCACTATGGTGCTTCTGACGCTGATGACTGTCACACTGGATCCTCCTCAGAAACTACCAGACTTATTTTCTGTATTGGTGTGTTTTGTATCTTGCTTGAACTTCTTGTTCTTCTTGGTATACTTTAACATTATAATCATGTGGGATTCCAAAAGTGGAAGAAATCAGAAGAAAATCAGCTAGCTGTATTCCTAAACAAATTGTTTCCTGAACAAATGTGAAAATATGAACAGTGCTGAAAGGTTTGTGAACTTTTTGCTATGTATAAATGAAATTACCATTTTGAGAACCATGGAACCATAGGAAATGAAATGGTGAAAAGTCATTGTTGTCTACACAAAATAAATGTATATGGAGACCAAAGACCAATGGAGGCTTGTCTAAGTACTGCTTGGCCAAAACATATTGTGGTTTTATTATTCACAGCTATTCAAATGGGGAAAAAAGAGAAACATGTCCTTAATCCCATTGTTTACTCAGGAAATGCACTTTTTAAATGTCTTGAAAAAACTGAGAAATATTTCTTGGTATTTGCTTTGTCTAAACCTGCTTCCTTCATCAGACCATATAGTGAGCTTAATGGAAGAATTGAGCCCCTTCTTTTTAATGGAAATCACTAATTTTGGTATTCAAATTTACACTTTAGAATACAAGTAGTGTGTATTTCACTGTGTAGAAGTTATGTCTTAGGGAATTTAATTTGTGATAATCTTTTTAATTACTGAGAAGGCAATTTAAACTGCTTGAAGTCTGAATATGCCTTATTACACATGCAAATTTGATTGTTTTAACAAGGCAAATAAACCATGATCTTATTTGCAAGAATGCATATTTTAATACAATTAAAAATGAATTTTCCTGAATTTAAATGTAAGTTTTAACTTTAAGTGGTTTGAGTGAAGTCTTCTTAATCACACATAATCACTGGTTTTAAACCTCCAGAATCATTCTATTTAAACATTATATTATACATATATATTATTATGAGATGGTTCAAGGTTACCACTGCCAGAGCATTGATTCATGTTAATTCCATCCTATTAATACTGTATCACCCTATATTAGCAGAAGCCCATATTTATTATAGTTTTCAACTGGTAAAAATAATGCATGATATCCATGTTGTAGTTTCTCATATAAAGATATGTTTTCTTTAGTCTCTGTAATAAAGATAATCATTTTCCCATCAACATTTTTTAAGGAATATATTTCTTTCAGAAGATAGCCATTAAACTATATTAAGTGGTGGTATATTTTAAAATAGTGCAAATCAAACCACATACAGAAAAATACTGGTTCTAGACATGGACAGTCACAGGCTGGTGTAAGAAGGTGTAAGTTTCTAAATCTGATAAAGGAAGTGGGTTTAGACAAAGCAAAAATCTAGAAAGGTTTCTTTCTCAAAAGACTCAAAGGGCAGGTCAGCGCAGAATAGCAGCCTTGAATCACTGCCGAATCAGCAGGAACATCGCTGTCCACGGTCACCATCTGTAATCACTGTGCCCAAATGTCAGCATCTTGGCTGGCTAGTGTAGCTTTATTTTAAAAAATGTTTTTTTTAATAGTACACTTGTGTTTAACATAGAATGTTGACTTAGATAAATGATGAGGAAGTTATAAATAATTGGAGTAGAATAACTATTATTAGGAAGTAGAAGTATTACGTATATATATTAGTAAAATGAAATGCACCTGATTCAAGGTATCATACAGGTAAATTCTGTAAATAAAACCATTCTTCAGATGATTTAATCTTAATCATATTGATTTGCACTATATTTTTATAGATACTTGTAGCAGTTATCTTATAAGTATCCCTCCTATCTATTAAAAACCAGTTTAAGAGTTTCCATTGAACTTAGAGGGATTAGGTTCCAAAATACCAAAACCAGAGGCCAGGCACAGTGGTCTCTATTTGAGAGGCTGACACAGGATGATCGCTTGAGACCAGTGAGATACCATCTCAAAAAAAGCAAAATATCAAAAATATCCAGTGATGAATTACGATCACAGAAGTAGGCAACTCCAAAGCATTGCTCTTAGCTAGACTCAGGGCTATAGGGATGTTTTCATATAAATATATTTAGGTTATGCAAAAATATTAAAGATAGATTTCTCACCTGCTTCACTAATATACTTGTCAAAAAATAAGCCCTTCAAAGTCACGTTCAAGTACATTTTAGATAGAGGAGGCACTTCTGAGAAATGCAGTGTTCTCAGCTGCCAATAAACTTAGGCCTGCTTCTTAAAATGAAGAGAATAGGGTGTATGTGCATGTATCATATATGAGCCATACAGAAGTCATTTTCCCTTGAGGACTTAGGGAGGAGTGAAAAATCCCCGATGTAGCATTCTGTCCAAATGATAAACCACAACAAATTGAGTGAAACATTTACAAAAGTCAAGGCAGCCAAAGGAGCCTCTCTGTTCAACAGAAAGAAAGAGACGGATAGGATATAATTAAATAATGGTTAAAGTAACACAGTGGTTTCCAAGTCTCAATTGGTCTCTCTTCTGTTATGTTCATTGGAAGATCAGGGCCAAGTATATCCCCCACAACTTCCCCCTCCCCTCATATAAACATTAGTTTTGTGTGTGGATCTTTCTGCTTTGTCCTTCATGTGGCCTCCAAGGGTGATAAAGTGAGAGTCATCTGATCTACAATGAAAAGAACTGGGAAATGATTCTCAGCAGACCCAGCTGTTCTAAAAGGCAAAAGCTTAGTATATCAAGGGGTCAAACATACAGTAACTGGTTTAACAGCATTAAGCACATACCTATATAACTTGGATTATATATGAAACCAATCTACTTCTTAACCCTGTATTAGCTAACATAGATTACTTTATAAAATGTTTTGGCTTACAACCTAAGGTTAGTTTTCAATGCTAGAATAATCCTTTTTTAGTGTACTTTTGGTAACATCCTATTATAAGCACTGTATCAGAATAAATTTCTTAAACAGTATGAAGAAAATAATTTTTTTCTTATAAATTCTTCAATTATATAAATGAAGGTAATTTATATAATTTATATTTTTAAAAACCTTTCATTATAAAAAGGTGAATCTAAAATTTCTCTAAGTGGAAAGTGAGTTATTTTCTTTTTTTCTGAGATAGGTGTCTTGCTATATTGCCCAGTCTGGTCATAAACTCCTGGGCTCAAGCGATCCTCCTGTTTCAGCCTCCTGAGTAGTAGCTGGGATTAAAGGCTTGTGCCATTGCATGCAGTGGAAAATTTTCAACCTTAATTTGTTAACATTTTGTTTCAGATTTTCATGTAGTTTTAGTTTTTCATGATATATTCAAATGACATGGTAATATTTTCTACTAATTTTGTTAAAACTTAGGGCAAGCTACCTCAAAGGAGTAGCAGTTTTTCCCTACAGAAATGGTCAAGAAAAGCATAAGTTTCACTATCAAGATAACATACTCTGTGACTCCCTCCTCCCCTTTATTTTGGGAGTGACAAAAACATGATGATGACAGAAAACACCACAGAATAACTGAAATTTAATATTTCAAAATAATTTGGAATGGATCACATATTGCCCCTTAATAATGGTCTTTTCTTTAAATTCAGTACTCTGTGTAGTTTAGTTCAAAAAACTTCATAAACATTTATACTGAAAAAATACATTCTAATATTTTATAAATGGTGTAAAATTTTAAAATGTTGAAATTGTTTTTTTCCTCTAAAAGCATAGGAAAATAAAAACTCACTCCTGAGGTAGTGGCTACACAATAGACTAGATAAATCTTTAAAAAAATTTTTTTAAAGAATCTATAAGTTAATAAGCAGCTAGGGCTTTAAATGGGAACACTGGTACTTAATTCCACTTACCATTACATTTAATCTGAATTTCAGGAAAATATATAATTCTACCAAAGGTGCCACTTTTATACATGCTTTATTAAGTCTACCCATGAATGCTAAAAGTCCACAGAAGTGTATGTGGTACAGAATATAAGTCAAGATCTTCCTCTCCATGCTGGCTTACATTAAAGAGTCAAGAAGAAATGTATTATTTACATTGAGATTATCTACTGGTGTGTGTAGAAAGTTTAAATTAGCTGCAAGAAATTTTATCTAGACATGCACCTGCTGACTGCTATGAGCTGGTATTTACTGGGCAGATTAATTACAAATATTTCTCTGTTCCTTTAAATATGATCAGGCAGATGCAAAAGTTGGTGCTCATGGTGAGTGCATTTCTTCTTAATGCCTGTGGGATATAAAAGATAATTATATTATCAAGAATTAGTTAACATGCACCTCATACATGACTTAAGAAGTGATTTTAATACCCATTAACAATCTAATTTGGTACCTAGTTTATAGTTAGATGCTGCTGGCAACCTCTCATTTGCTTTTGCTTTATTTTATTTTTTATTTTGTGAGACGGAATCTCACTCTCACCCAGGCTGGAGTGCAGCGGTGTGGTCTTGGCTCACTGCAAACCTGCCTCCCGGGTTCAAGTGATTCTCCCACTTCAGGCTCCTGAGTAGCCGGGACTACAGGTGTGTGCCAATACACCTGGCTAATTTTTGTATTTTTAGTAGAGACGGGGTTTCACTATGTTGGCCAGGCTGGTCTTGAACTCCTGACCTCATGATCTGCCCACCTCAGCCTCCCAAAGTGCTGGGATTACAGGCATAAGCCACTGTGCCCGGCCTCATTTGCTTTTTGACTATCTTCACTAGTAACTGTCAATGTGACTACTCAGACATAGCACTCAGTATTGTTCACCTTATGTGACCATACTTACAGGAGATACATCTCAGAGAATTTTAAAACTCCAACAGGGCCTACAGAAAACTTATTTACATGCCTTTGTCTATAAGCTTTAGGGGCCTTTCAGCAGGTGTTTCCTCCAACAGCTGCCCCCTGCCCAAAAGACAGTATTTACTGTGACAGATTCCTATTCAGAATATGTCTCTCTGGGGACTCCTAGTGGTGGCAGAGGCTCATGTCTGTTCAGCCTTAGAACCCTTCTGTGAGAGAACACCTTTGAAGGAAGCAGCCATTGGCAACTGATGGCATACATTACCATAGGGCATGTGGGGAAAGATCTTTAAAAATGACCTAATAAGGCTGGGGGTGCTGGCTCATGCCTGAAATCCTAGGCCAAGGCAGAAGGATTGCCTGAGCCCAGGAAGTCAAGGATGCAGTGAGCTATGACTGCACCACTGCACTCCAGCCAGGGTGACAGAATGAGACCCTGTCTTGAAAAAACAAAAACAGGCCGGGCGCGGTGGCTCAAGCCTGTAATCCCAGCACTTTGGGAGGCCGAGACGGGCGTATCATGAGGTCAGGAGATCGAGACCATCCTGGCTAACACGGTGAAACCCCGTCTCTACTAAAAAATACAAAAAACTAGCCGGGCGAGGTGGCGGGTGCCCGTAGTCCCAGCTACTCGGAGGCTGAGGCGGGAGAATGACGTAAACCCGGGAGGCGGAGCTTGCAGTGAGCTGAGATCCGGCCACTGCACTCCAGCCTGCGCGAAAGAGCGAGACTCTGTCTCAAAAAACAAACAAACAAACTGATAATCCCATCCTGAGGTGATCTATGTCTGCTGTGAATTCCCGTAACACTGCTTATTCTTCATTTGGTACTTACAGTAGAGAATAATGTTTATCTTCTCAGTCTGAAGGGGAAGAAACTTCTGTCAACTCTTCCTCTGTACTCCATGGAAGTGTGACAAATTTGATTGGTCAAAGTCTAGAACATTCACTGGTCTACATTTTACTCATAACATTACACAAATTCTTCCCTCCTTGTAGTTTCCCTATCTACTCTCAATCCCAGTGGACCTTTTTTATTATCATACTTCCTAATTTCACGTAGTAGGGAAACCAACCCATTCTATTGTGCTGACCTGCAATCAAGCATGTAAAAGGCAGGCTTGTGGTCTTCACAGCATTAGAGTCACATGGACTTGGGGGTCTGTTTAAAAGATCCAGTTTTTAGGTTCAGTAAAGTGCACAGAATTCAAGATTTAGACTTAGTGTGAGAAAGAAGAGGTTGCATTTCTGCTTTAAGGCAATCTACCTTAGTTACCCCAAGCTTCTACCAGAGAGCCTGCCATGGTCGAGGGTTATCAAGTTGATACTTGGATGCTCACTGGATGCACAATCCTTGTTTGTACTTGTTATTGGTCAGAACTTAGAAGAGTCTGAACTTGTATCATTTATCATAACTTGCCTTATATTGTTTTTGTGTCCTTATTAGGTTTCAAACTGTCATAATACACAGCGCTTTGTTCATACTAAGCCTCATGTTTGTTACCCAAGTAATTCATACACATTGTTACTAAAGTATCCCAATATCCCCTGTTAACATTAGCCAAAATGTTTTTCTCTTCCCATCTTTTGATGGTCTTAGCACTCTGGCTGTGGCCTCTGGGTTGCTGTCACCCTTACTTTCTCTCTTATTCTAGCATCGTTTCACTTCTTAAAGGCTCTGGGAGTGAATTTGTATGGGACAGTCCTCCCCACTGAACCATTACAGGTCAAGAGGAATAATCACTGAAGTGTAACAGAGGGCTGGAGCTGGAGCTGTGGTGCAGGTAGGGAAGTTGGTCACAGTGATATCAGGAGTACTAGGTGTCAAGTTTCTAGAGCATAAGGACAAAATCAGGAGTTTCATTCACTTTCTCCTTTATGCATACCAGTCAGGCAGCTATGACAAATATACAAAAGAGCAATGAGGAGAATATGGGGGAGAGGGATTTGGGGAAGCTTATGCAGAAGATGAATTCTAAGCAGGTTTTGAAAGACGGGTAAAATTTTGACAATAATGAGGGAAAAGGCACGCTAGGCTGAGCAGACAAGACTAAAGGTAAGGACATGAGAAAGGCACTTTCTGGGAAAGGTGTCTGGGAAATGGCAAGTAATCTGGAATGAGTAAGGCACAATGAAGAAACTGGAAAGGTAAGCTGTGGGCAGATCAGGGAGACTCCTGAATGTCAGTTTAAATTTGGATTTTATCGTACATATGGTGGAGTGATATCTTCTAAAGCATACATTTTTTTTCAGTAGCAGGATAGGCTGTAGGGGAAAGGGACCAAAGGGCAGACAGGTAGGTTACAATAGGGACAATGATAATCTGGAAGAGTTCCACACCAGTGGGTGTGGAAAGTAGAATTAACCATTCTCAGAAGTAATATAATCTGGCAGCATTTGGATGTGGGAACAGAGAGAGAGAATTTGACCAATGGAATGATATAATCCCTAAAAAGGTAGAAGAAAAAACAACTTTGAAGGAGAAATGATGAAATCAGTATACTTGGGGGACACTGTATGGCAGCTGAGATTGTGGTTTATAGCCTAGGAGACTATAATAATTTGGAAACCACATACACTAAGGTGAAAACTCAGGGAATGAAGGAGATAATGAAGGAAATGCTCAAAGTGAGAAGAAAACGTGGTGAAAGGCAGAACTGAGGGAAATGCCTCAAAGGTGAAGTCACTTAATTTCACTGTCATTTCTCTCTTGCTTCTCAATGAAAGGGAAGTTGACTGGTAGCTCAACCTTAATTCTTCCCAGTTTCTTAAAAGTATTACTCAAAGACTCAAAAGAACACCCCAAAATGTGGTTATCTTTACTAAAATCCATTAACACAAAGCTATTCTCGGTACTCTGAATTCCCTATAAGTTTATTACAGACTATCAAACACTAAATGTTGCACATTCATTTACTAAATGTGTAGCTGTGAAGATGTATCTATGATCACCATCTAATATGTTCTCTGTTGGATTTCATGGGTCAGAAATTTTATAAAATGTTAACCTTATAATGAATGAATATAGGTGTATGTGGATGGATATATATGAAATACATATATATCCCATTACATATAGGACAAATAAGGATAATATTTATATATGATCCTTACTTAACAGGATATAAAATCCTTGGCCAGTAGTGAAACCTGAAATTCACAGATTACTACTGGGTAGTGGCAAGAGCATAGGCTCTGGCACCAGACTACTCGGTTTAGTATCCTGGCCCTGTTTTAGGTGATTCTGGGACAAGGTACTTAACTTCGTTTGTGCCTCAATTGCCTCACCTATGAAATAAAAGTAGTAACTGTATCTACCTCATAAGTTGTTGTGAAGATTAAATGGAATATGTATAAAGTGTTTATAACACTGCTGGCACATAGAAAGTACTCAATAAGGCTGGGCACAGTGGCTCACGCCTGTAATTGCAGCACTTTGGGAGGCTGAGGCAGGCGGATCACTTGGGGTTAGGAGTTCAAGACCAGCCTGGCCAACATGGTGAAACCCCATCTCTAATAAAAATACAAACAATTAGCTGGGCATGGTGGTGCTCACCTGTAATCCCAGCTACTCGGAAGGCTAGGGCAGGAGAATCACTTGAATCCAGGAGGTGGAGGTTGCAGTGAGCCGAGATCGTGCCACTGCACTCCAGCCTGAGTGACAGAGCAAGACTCCATTTCAAAAAAACAAACAAAAAAACCAGAAAGTACTCAATAAATACTAGCTATTATTATAAGCTATTACTCACTGCAAACAGAATATAAGCTATTGTTTACTGCATACAATAGAATAAACGTTTTCATAAAAAACTGACTATTTTCTATATAAGATGCGTTGCAAATATTAAGACTAGCTTGTCAGGAAGCTAATATTAACCACTTGAGATACCATTTCCAAAGAAAAGTATCTTGGAGATAGAACATAATTCTTTAATTGTGCTTTGATTTTTTTCCCTAAGAGAGAGCAGGCAACACATCTGGTAAGCTAACAATTCTTTTTTTTTTTGAGACAGGGTCTCGCTCTGTCACCCAGGCTGGAGTGCAGCAATCATGGCTCACTACAGCCTCTACCACGTGGGCGCATGTGATCTTCCCAACTCAGCCTCTTGAGTAGCTGGGACTACAGACATGCGCCACCATACTCAGCTAATTTTTCTATTTTTTGTAGAGACAAGGTCTCTCACTATATTGCCTAGGCTGGTCCTGGGCTTAAGCGATCCTCTCACCTTGACCTCTCACAGTGCTGGGATTACAGGCATGAATCACCATGCCTAGCCCCTAATGCCAGTTTTTGTTGTTTTTTCCCTGAGACAGAGTTTTACTCAGTTGCGCAGGCTGGAGTGCAGTGGCGTGATCTCAGCTCACTGCAACCTCCGCCTCCTGGGTTCAAGCAATTCTCCTGCCTCAGCCTCCCGAGTAGCTGGGATTCAGGCACAAGTCACCACGCCCGGCTAATTTCTTGTATTTTTAGTAGAGACGGGGGTTTCACCATGTTGGCCAGGCTGGTCTTGAACTCCTGACCTTGGGAAATCCACCCGCCTCGGCCTCCCAAAGTGCTGGGATTACAGGTGTGAGCCACCATGCCCAGCCCATGTTAGTTCTTAATATAAACCTTCAGTTACAGGTACGCTAAACACTAATATATCATGACTTATATTGCTTTTAGCTTATTTGTTACAATAAGCTATTTATAAATGTATAATTTTTACTTGTATTGCTGCATCAATAGGAATTGTTCTGAAGGCAAGGTATAACTAATTAATATATAATTATTTACTTAATTTAGTACATTTCCTAATTTAACAGACTAGTTATATCTTCAGTCAGATGTGTCCTACAGAAACTATAATCTACTTGTTAGCATCTATTTAGCTATTTATATGAAATATGACTAAGGACCCTTAACTCCGTTAAAAATGTGTCCTCTCTGACTTTTAAAGTTAGCCTTGTCAGCTCAACAGTTCTTTCCCAGTCAGCCTCTAACTGATGTTAGACTGCCCTCCTGTTGTTTATAAGACTAGGTTAATATAATTTCAACTAAAGCTCCAGTGCTCATATCCCTATTTTCTTATAGGAAGACAATACCAAATCTGATAATGTAAATAAAATGTTTCCACCTGAACAAAACACAGTGAAATTTCACAAGGTTAAACTAAATTAGAAAGGTGAAACAGTACCTCAGTTTAAAATGGCTTTAAGGAATTCATAGCTGTCAAGATGACATGATTCTAAATGAAAGAAGAAAGTTTTTTTTTCTTTCAGAAAACAATTCAAAGCAACTTGCCACAGTATATGATGCAGAATAAATGTTGAAGCAAAATGAAATTAAAACAACCTAAAGTCTTGTTTTACACTAAAAATAGCAGCTCTGAGGCTATAAATTCTCATTGCAATATCCGACAGTTAGCCTGATTCTATTTCAGAATATACCTTTTCAAATTTATTATGAAAACTTCCAGGACATTTATTACAATACATGCTTATTACCATTATTAGTATACTCTTTATGGTTACTAAAATGACTTGTTATTTGTGCTAGATTCTATACTCCTGAGGGCAGGACTATGTCTGCCTTGTTTGTCAGTGTGTCCCCAATGCTAGAATAATGCCTGGAGCATGGTAGGCATGCAATAAACATTAATGAGATAAGAAAATAGCAATTTATAAGTATTTGAAAATACTTAAGATAATTCTTTTAAAAAAGTTCTTTTCATTCATCACACATTGGCTGCACTGCATGTGGAACTTCTATCCAGGCTCTATCCAGGCGCTATGCTAGGCTCTGGGACTACAGTACATAGATAAGACTTTTTGTTTGTTTACCAAAGAGGAGCCCAGAAAGAGTCCTGTAACCAGACAATTGCAATGCACTACAACATGATACATTTAAAATATTCAGACAAGTGTTGTGGGAGCCTAGAAGATGAAGCAATTTAGCTTTACCTAGGAGAGCTGGGGAGAGCTTCACAGAGGTTGTGACATCTGAGGCTGACCTTAAAGGACGAGTAGGAGTTTGCTAGACAGAGAAAAAAGCAATCTAGGTAGAGGGAAAGGTAGCAAAGTGTTCTGGGGTCCTGAAAGAGAGGTTCCAGAGGGCTGAAGCACTTGCTGTGAATAGTATGAATAAAAATAACTACGCTCCTTGCATCCGAGGTCTGAGCTGGAGGAAAAATCACCTAATATTTAATAATTACTAAATCCTGCTTTTAACTATATAACTAGTTATATAATACTATAAACATTTGCTTTATTGTGTTTCAAATATGTAAACCACTTAGATAATTTATCTAACTCTTTTTTTGTGGAGCGTTTTGGACTACTCTGAGAGTTGAAAATGGGAAAAAAAAGTTCACCTGTCAGGTAACACAAAACCAATTTCTACTAAATGTGCCAGAATAATTTTTCTCCACCTCAAGAACAGTCTTCAGTCTATTCATTACTGTCTTTTTATAGTATTTTTATTTAATAAAACCTATTAAGACTACCATACAAATCTCTTTACTTATGCTTTTATCTTTTAACTGATCAATTTTTATATTGCTGACATCCCTTCTTCACCATTTGCTCATTTAAAAATTCATAGTATGTGAGATATGTCTCTGGGGAAAATGTCTATAAAATTTGTTACAGCTGGCAAATGTGTATGAGTCAGTGATAGCACATGACTAAATGCTTCACAGAAAATAAAATTTGTTTCTGTAGTAAGCAGAACTGTTTAAATGTTATTTATTTTTATGTTTCAAAGAAAATATATTGTGAAGTGCTGCATTGATTTAATACGCAACAATGTCTGTGTACACGCTGTAGAAGGAAAATTTATGAAACCTTTGCACAACTCCTTTAATTGAATTTTCCAAATCTCTCACCACACACAAATAATCAATATCTTCTGCAGAGAAAACCAGTCAGAATTATTATAGTCTTTCTTTTCAATTTTGTTGTCATCAGCACATACAGAGCACCTGGATATTTGTAATGTCTGATAGCAAGTTATTTACACCTTTTAAACACCTAATTGCTATTAAGTGAGTCCAAATCTATAGTTTAAAATTTTTTCTACTGATTTTATTTGAAAGAAAAATTATCATACTTCTGTTAAAGTATAAAAAATTTAAATCATTAAAGAAGTTATTTAAAAGGCTATGAAAAGTAATAAACCTGTTTATTTTTACTTAAATCCTAGACAAATCTCAAGTATGCATTTTTAGCAGGTGAAATGCATACCCCAAAACAAAGACAAATCGTGTAAAACAAGAGCATTAACATTATTAATAGGAAAGGTTATGACTCACATATGGCATACATGATAGCTGAATCATTATAAAGAGCTGAGGACTATAGTTGTACATTAATGTATATTTGTGCTATCAAAATTAATGGCTCCATTTTTTATCTCCAGATAAATCCAGAATGTTAAAGCATAGGGGGAATTTCTGTTGTTTCTCCTAAAAGTCGTCATGTCTAAACTTCAAACCTCAGTGCTTTTAAAATTGAAGTATCTGTTTGAAAAAAATACATTGTTTAATGTTAAGATAAAATAGAAAACTAAAAGGGTAGTAGTCTTCTGGGAGTGAAATTATTCAGCTGATATGATGAATACTTTTTCAAGCCTGAGTGGGGGAAAGAACAACATATTTTTATGTTTAAAAAATACTTCAGTGGGTGGTTAGAATGAAGAGGCAGTATCAAACTATTTTATAGTGTTACAACAGAAAGACTTTTAAATTTGTCCTGTTGTCTAAGAATTTGATAACCTTAAAATCCTATAACCAAGATGAATTTTACTATGTAAGAATACAGAAAATTAACTAAAGAAAACAGGAACATTGTAGATTATGCTTTTTAAAACAGACCAAAGTTGGAAATTCTGAAATATTTTCTAATACAAACAGCTGAAACATTGAACAATGTAAAGTTCAGATGGTTCCATTTCATTTAAAATATGCATACTGCAACCTACACAATTATTCTCAAAACAGATAAAATATGTTTTGGACTGAAGCTAAGTGTCTAGATTTCATATCCTGGCAACTGCTCTACAATTTGCTTACATTCTTTTCAAAAACATTTTGTTTATTGGAAGTACTAGTCAAAGACCAACAATGATGGTATTTTTTAGTATCTTCAGAAAAAACTGAGAATATTAAGTACTATAGAATGCCATCTATTGACTAAGGAATATCTGTAACAAGTTGTTTTAAGGAGAGGTTGATTATGTAAAATAAATAAATTTCATGCCTCACCATGTGATGATAATGTGACATTCCATCTGTATCAGCCCACTGAATGGTCATATGTTTTAAATCTTCAGCATAACAAATTTAAAATAATTATGAAAATTCACATCCAAATCTAACACAAAAAGAACCTTTCATTTCATTCTTTTCCTAATAGTCATAAAGCCAGTGTTATTGAAGAAAGCAAAATTAGGCTTATTTCCTAAGTAACTGAAGAAAGAAAGAAGCCTTCCTTTGTTTAAGAAATCTGTGTTTAGCAGAGGAGATCCTCTTTTATTCATATACTCTCATCAAGGCATCCCCTGATTTACCAGGTCCAGTTCTTATGACACTATGCAAATCTCAGTGTGTCTTTTAATTTTATTGTATATGTTTTAAATTTCTCTTGAATAAGTTATATAAAGCCTTAAGAATCTGTGTCAGATGTCTATTTAAAATACTAGAGTGTTATTTTTACAATTATACTCTTCCTGTAATAAAGACTGTAACTGAAGTTAACTGAAATTCCCACTGAAAAGAAAAACTAAATATTAGTAGAACTAAAAGACCAATTAGAAGAGGCAATGATAGCATAAATATTGAAATTCTCATGGTATTGTCTGCTTTAACTATTCCAGGAAAATTTTGTAAGAATCTGAAAGACCAAAAAACAAACAAACAAAAAACAAAAAAACCCCACCAAAAACCCAGAAGAATCTGAAGGACATTCTTTTGATAGTGAAACAAGTAATTGGCTTATTCTCATTTTCATAATTAATAAATCCTATACATATTATAGGGATGATTTTTATTTTACTTATTTTCTAATAATATGAGAAACTCCCAAAACATTTTAAAATTTAAACAATTCTGTGTAATAGCATAATAAAAATAAATAAATAAACAAATAAATAAATAAATAAATAAAAGTGGAAATTTCAAGGCCAGAATAAGGCAGAATAAGGAACATATAAAGCAAACTAGTTTGAGATGTCAAAAGAATTAGCAAAATCCTCTTAAAATGAATGTATGAGCAGAAAAGGGTAAAAGCTGTTAGCTTACTAAAAAAATTTATGTGTGTGAACGTTTGTGTGTGTACATAATCATTAACCAAAAAAAAAAAAACAAAAAAAAAAACCCTGAAAACTAATATGTATGTTAGGAACCAGAGAAAGAGGTAGTAAAAGCACTCAGGATATAGCTCAAACTCAAATTACAACAAAAATAAGCTTTAATCTATTTTTTAGGCAATATGAATTTCCCAAAATTAGCTGAAAACCTAATGAAGTTTTTAAAACCTTGGGAAATATAAAGAGCTAATGTAGCTCCTGCCAAGAAACAGAATTGGACGATGACTATATAGAATACACATTAATATATAACATACTTATATAGATACTATGTATTATATATTTTTAAACTGAGTTTTCATTTAAATCAATGATTATTAGAAATTTACAAACATGGTTTAGTCATACAGTCTCCTCTATGCAGGAACTCAGTCCTTTGGGAAAATCTGGTAATGGGCAAGTCAGCCTTAATGCCTAAAATAATAGAAAAGAGTTTTAAGGCTGATCATGCATAAACACACAATGAATTCATGTATTTTAGATGGCCATAAGGAAATGAAAAAAGTATCCCCTGGAAGGAAAAATATTTTAATAAAATATAAATTTAAACAAATTTTTTACATTATTAGCATTGACAGTTCACTTATTTATTCCAGAGTTTTCTGCTTCCTTATTTCTCAAAGCTGCTTGCAAAAGTCAACTATGTTAAGCCTAATTCTAATTAGTTCTAGGAAGTTACAGATTTTTAAAGAAATCACACTATTGGTATAGAGTATGTAGAAGCAAGATTTCTTCCAATTGGGAAATAATAAACATTTTGCTTTCCTACTGTGATCCTTTAAAACTTGTCAAGTTAGGAGAGATTGAAACCACTGAAACCCAGTTACACATTCTAATCAAGTTACACAACTAAAGTAAGACACAAGAGGTCAGGCGTGTTGGCTCATGCCTGTAATCCCACTTCACTAATCATCACTTCAGCCTGGGTGACAGGGTACAATCTTGTCTCTAAATTTTTCTTTTCTCTTTTTCTTTTTTTTTTTTTGAAGAAGAGATCCCAAGCCATTTCCAAGAAAGAGCTACCTTTCATGTTCTTAAATTCTTGGCATCACAGTAGACGTTAGTTGTTCAACTGAAAAGCTCAGGAAGTCTATTCAGCTCCCTTCCCACATGAACTTTGGAGGAGTCTTGCCATGGCTGCAGCCCTGCCATGACCCAGTTGGCCTTTAGATCTGACTGCCTGGCAATCCCAGCACTTCCCATTGCCAACCCATCACTGGCTTATTAAAGGTTCTAAACCCAGGCTAACATACCAGATTGGCTGAAGCAGTTTCAATTATATGCCATGTTTGAGTCTGAAAGCTGGGATGATTGGATGATTTCATTTGTTTTAGGAAGGGACAACAAAGAATAATGAAAAGACCAGAGTTTTTGAGGCCAGACTGGTCTTTGCTTGGAATTCTTGCTCTGTTACCTAAGTAGAAGTCTTGGGCAAGTTACTTAATATTTTTTGTATCTTCGTTCCTTGTCTATAATGACAATGATAATACAGTGTAGCTATCTTTCCACAATGCTGTAAAGATCTGCTGATCCTAGTATTGAGAATATAGTAATTATAGGTACTCAATAAATGGCAGTCATCGGTATTTAAAAGTGGTAGGCTAAAAACACGGCCACCCATTTTAAGGCCTAATTCCACCTGCAGAAATTGCTAAATGGCATTCATGTAGGTACTATTAATCACTCTTACATTAGTCTAAAGGTTTTAGTATTTTACAGTTCATGATTACTTTGCTTATTGAGGTGTGAAAGTATGAATGTGTACTTCCTATGGAAACTTAAACACTGTTTATTTAGTTTTCCATACTGTGAAATGATCAGAGGCATAAGAGTTCATAGTAGAACAAAGCACATTAATGATCTGAAAGTTTCCAGAATACTGGTTAGAAAGTAACTTTTAATGGTTCTAGTGCAACACTAAAAACTGCAGTATATTAATGCATTGTTGCTCATATTCGTCTGTATTCTCAAAAATAAATTTTAATAAAAAGACAAAATTTAAATCTTATGTTGAAGATTGCATTTCAAAAGACATTTAAAAAGTTCAATCAGAGAAGTTGATCTCATCAGGTATCATCTGCTAAATGCAATATAAAGCTTTTCAAATGAGATTCATGATCTTTTAAAAGAACACACTTCAGAACAGGGATCTCTGAGGAAAAAAGAAAATCACTAAAAAGGGCTCATGATGATTCGTTTTAATTGGCAAAATGGGATGAAAGCATCTTTTTATGTAATAAACTAAAACACAACTACTTACGTTTGTGAGGAAGTCCTGAACTCCTTTCAAACAGTTTTTGTTTAATTACTTTTGTCACTAAAAGAAGTAAAAATCCCATGTCAAGAATTAACATAGAATATGGAGAATTTCTCATTACTTGGAACAAACAACTTCATGAGAAAAAAAAAATCCAAAATAATACATATTTATAAGTACCAAGTATAAAATATAATACCTTATTATATATTATAAAAATGGGCATTACATTTGAAATGCCTGCTACCAGTTTCCAAGGTGCATTGTTTTCATTGACATTCAAGAAGAATCCCCAAAATAACACATCCTGATAAAAGACATGTGGCTTCTTATTTAAAGGTAATAGTATTTTTATCACATGTCCAGTAATGGTATATATAAAGAAATCTATCACATTTAAATTTGAAACAAATTAATAGGTTTATCTTTAAAATTATTGTCATTGAAAACTCATAAATTCTTACTTAGTTCTTTGGTTTTCTGCATTTCTTTTTTTAAGAAACGTGATGCACAGGAGATTCCAATGAGATTTTCAAGCTCTCTACTGCCCTCCAAAGCCTACAAGAAAGCCATCCCGAATGAGTTAAGTTCTCTATACATATGACATTACTGACATGTCTAGTGAAAATACAGTATATTATTTCCTTCATTTGAAAAACTTAAACTCTATGTTAGGATATTTAACTTTTTCTGGCAGGCCAACTATTTCAAGCCCTAAAATGCCTGAATAAAAACAATTTATAATTAACTAAAAAGACGAAACATAATCTACAAATTTATATTTAAATATGAAAAGCCAGATATTACTAAAATATTATGGTTAAATAGTGTTCTCCTATTAAAAAATTCCCATGAAAAGTAAATTAAACATACTCTGTGCAAACTCTTTCCTGGATTGGATTCTCCAATCTGGGACACTCCTTCCTTTTATCCTTTTCAAACAGGGTAGAAGTATGAAAAAATACAAACCCGTATACTACTTAAATTTTGCATTATCGCCATGATTTCTTCTGACAATTTCTCAACTTTAGATAGCAACATCATCAATCTAGTAATAAAGAAAAAGATAGTACTTAGCAAGGGGAAGCATTTAAACATGGCAAGTCATTTTCAAAGCTTTAACTCTTTTTAAAGGACCTTTGACTTAGGTTCTTTCATTCTTTATAAACACAATATATATATTATCAACTGTCCTCTCTTTTGGAGTTTAATTTCCGATTCCCACTGAGCAGTGGAATGGAAGACATAGTTGGCTGTTCCTTTCTCCACAATGCCACAATGAGAACACTAATACACCACCATTCCTTCATTTACCTTGACTGAGTCTATGAATCAGTATCACCTAGTAACTTTTTTTAAAATAAAAAAAGTTTCATGACTTTATGTTAAATTTGAAAATAAAGAAAAGGAAAAGAGGAAAACATCACTTGGAATTCAGTCTTCTGAACATATCTCCAGTTATCTTTTTGGAAAAATTCGCCTAGTTTAAAAAAAAAAATTGTGTAACTTTGTTATCATGTTTTTTTTTCTTCTTTTTATAAAGAAATGGGGTTTACCTCTGTTGCCCAGGCTGAAGTGCAGTGGTATGATCATGGCTCACTGCAGCCTCAACCTCCTGGATTCAATAGATCCTCTTACCTTGTCCTCCCAAAGCACTGTGATTACAGGTGTGAGCCATGGTGTCTGGCTGTGCTTTCTTTACTTAATATAACATTATATACATTTTGGGGGGCCACATATTAAAGGCTGCACAATATTCTATTTAGTAAACATACTAAAAGTGATTTAACTATTCCCTTACTGTTAAAATTTTAGTTTCTTTTCAAATTTTAAGACCCCATAGCTGTTTGTGATAATCTATATCAACAGTCTGATAGAAAAATAATGTAAGCCATGTATGTAACTTAAAATTTTTAGTAGCCACATTAAAAGGAATAAAAAAGGTAAACTTTAATAATTTTAATAATGTTTAAATATTTAACTCAATATATTCAAATATTATTTCAACATATAATGAATATAAAAATTGAGATATTTTATACTTTTTTCAAATCCAGGTATACTTTACATATTAACAGCACACCTCATTTCATACTAGCCATATTTCAAGTGCTCATTAGCCATGTATGGCTAGTGAGTACTGTTTCAAACAGCATAAATCCATATAGATTTTATGAGAGAAACCAGAAATTCTATTTAAATGCTTTTTCAAGATTACATCAGTGTCATTCATTGACATTTTTGTGCTATTAAAAATAAGACAAATGTTACAATTTTGATATATAATGTGTATGTACAGTAAGTTTCAATTAAGTAAAATGTTATCTAAGTATGCAAACAAGAAATGGAGAGTTGATAACATTATTCAAAAGCTAAAAATTATGAGGACAGTGGAATTTTGGGTGAATTCTTTTCTTTAGAAGTTTTCCTTTATTATGTATTTTCAATCAGAAGTCATCTGTCTGAGGCCCTGACTTAACAGGAGAATCTCAGTTTGAGAGATGGTATCATAAAGGAATTCCTTTTCCTTCAAATTGGATCCAAAGACCTGAAGAAACAAGGACTTAAGGGACTCCCACCCAGGCTGGATCCTCTAGGTTCTCACATATGATGCCAAAGCCTGAGTACCACAGGAGTACAAAGTAGAGGCAAATTAAGTTACTTTGCTATAAGAAGGAATCTGAGGGGCTTATTGCCTTGTAACTTGCATCCCTTTCCTGGGAGAACTGGACTAGCAGAGCCTTTTCAAACTGACTTCCATATCTTAAAGAGTTGATGGTACTCCCTGTTCACCTATAGGGAATTGTGTGGGAATGCTGTGGCAGGGCTGCCATCTTGAATGTCTCCAAGTGGCTCTGTTTACATAGAGTTAGATGTAAATCGTGCCCCCAAAAGTTGTATAATGTAGCATCCCCAAAGGACCTATTAGCAGCTCTCCTACATTAAGATAGTAATTGAGGGGCTAAGCTAAAACAAACTGTTTCAACAACCTTGGAGACTTGTATGGATTAAATATCAATTATCTGGGGAAGTTGTTTTCAAAACATCTTTGATATGCTGAAGGTGCTTTCTCAAGGACACTTGTATCCATTGCAGGATCAAGTAGACTAGTAGACATGCCATTGCTCTGCTCATTATTATTCTGATTCCCTTTCCTCTCCTCCTCCTTTTTCTTCTCCCTAGACGAAATCACCTCTTTTTCCCACTTTGAAGGCAACCAAATCCCCATGAATGGTTTTTTTAAGTGTTATACAACTGTTAAATCCTGAAAAATCCTTTTTTCTTCAAGGCATTATTTTCCACATCTTCTGCATCTTCTGAGTCACTGAAGAAGCCTTCATAATCTTTGGAGATAAACTATTTGCTGAGCAGATTTTGGGAGAAATAATTCTACCACTTTCTTCATCCTAGACAAAATGGAATTCTCATAAACATCCTACTTGTGCTGAAAAGTAGATTTGCATTGCTATTGAGAGCCCTTTTCTGTATTTTCAATGCATGGTTCAAATTCCACTTTGTTGCCCTAACATAGCATTATGGTTTGTGTACAGTCCCTTAGTTTTTAATATCATCTTGATGTTCCTTTACTAATTTATGTATTCCTGAAAACTAACAATCTTTCATTTTTTTCAAGCTGCCTGAAGAATATATTTCTCAAGTTCATTATGAAATTACAAAATTTCAAAGTTACTGTGGCTCTTTCAAGTTGGTGAGTAAAAGTATCATCACTGGTGCCATTCATATTTTACAGAATACTATTTTTTTCTCAAATATCCTCTGACTAGATTAAATTGGACCAAATCCTTTTTTTTTTTTTTTTTTGTTTGAGACAAAGTCTTGCTCTCTCACCCAGGCTGGAGTGCAGTGGCGCAATCTCGGCACACTGCAAGCTCCACCTCCTGGGTTCATGTCATTCTCCTGCCTCAGCTTCTGGAGTAGCTGGGACTACAGATGCACGCTGCCACACCCAGCTAATTTTTTGTAGTTTTAGTAGAGACGAGGTTTCACCATGTTAGCCAGGATGGTCTTGATCTCCTGACCTTGTGATCTGCCCTCCTCGTCCTCCCAGAGTGCTGGGATTACAGACGTGAGCCACGCCTGGCCCAAATCCTTTATCTTATAATGATCCTTTGAGCCATCCAGATGTCAATGGGCCACTACATCCAGATATCCAGTGACTGTCGCCAGTTTTATGGCATCCTTACAAGATTTAATCAAATCTGCATTGTGGTCAAAGACTATTGTAGCACAACCTGAGAAATCTGAAATCTTGGTCTTCCTTGAATTAACCTTCTTTTTCATCACTAAAAACCAAGCAGAATTTTTTTTTTTTTTTTTTAAGCATCTAGTAGTTTTTCTCTTGAGGGAGCTACATGTCAAAATTCAGGATTTTCAGTGCAGTTTTCCAATTTGCTTAGAAGAGTTGCATTGTGAAATTGAGAGTTCTTTCACGTTCCTCAAAGAGAAAGTCCTTATTCTGAAAAACAACTGAAATTAGGTGCATCAGCCAAATAAAATCCATGAGAAGTACTGGATGTATCCATTAATTCTGCTTTTCCTTCCTTCTATATTAACTTCTTCAGTCTCAAGTCAGGTGTAACTTGACTTTCAAAACTATCATTCTGTACCAGTTCAGGATTTTTCCTATCTTGGCCAGTTTCAATTCTTTCAGTTATTTTCCATTCTTAGCTTCAAATTTAGTTTCATCATTTGCTTTTTCTCTATTAAGTCCCTCAGATGTATTCTGAGGAGAGAACTAAAAGAACAAAGAGAAACTGTTATTAAATTGGTGCTTCTAATTCAGATTTATTGAGGCAGGTGTTAGCAAGCATTAACTCAGCTCCTGCTATGTGCTGTGCCATCCTAGATGTGAAAGAATGAGAAGCAAAGGAGTAGAGCAAATGAAAAAAGAACCCAGTGATTTATAGATTCCCTAGGATGCAAGCCATGGTACCTACTGTACTGTGTAGGCATTGTGGATATACTGGAAGAAGAGTGAAAACCTGTAAAAGCCATGATAATGGCCTGAAAAAAAATCTTGATTTCCCTCCTTTTTTGTAACTTCCAATTGTTTGATATATATCTTGCTTACCAGATTGTAAGTTCCATGAAGGCAAGGGTGGCATCTACCTTATTTACTTCTATAACCTGTGTTAACTAATAAAGTGCCTGCAGGTGTGGTAGGTACCCAGTAACTATTTGATGGATCAATGAACAGAAGAAAAAAGACCTAGTCCAGTGACCATCCATCCCTAGAGTCAAGTGAAGTATGCCCATCCTGCAGTTTTCTCTCTCTCTTTTTTTTTTTTAACTTCCTTCTCCTATTGTCTTATGTAGTCTCCATGATTCATCAGTTATATTGCTGACAAAGTTAATTAATTCAGTTCCCTAACCTTCCACCACATATGTCTTTCTCACAGGTAACCCAGGATGTCCCTATTTGTTTTCTTTGCTCCTAGCCTAAGCTGTGAGTACTATGGGGGAAAAAAAAAAGCCTCACAGTAGAATTGACAGTCAATACTAGAAGTATGATTTTGCTGAGCACCCAATGCTGCTTAACTCTCCATTTACTTAATTTAATGAATCTTCTTAATTTCTGCTCAACATGACAGCCTAACCCAATCTCCACTTCCTCCATATTAAAACTAAACTCTTATATTTATATTTCTGCCTTAGTATTTTTAATACAGTATTCTCAGAGGCCACAAATACACCCCTAATTAATTCTATTACTAAAAGCTATTATCTGAAAGTTATTACCTCTAAGAAATTGTACTTTTATAAATCTCAAGACTTGTGCATTAAATGTACATAACAAGGATGAATTCCTTAGGTTCTTCTAAATCTTTACAATACTACAATTCATGCAGAAAAAGGTAAATAGGTCACCGAATCTCCATCTCCCTCAACCTAAACTGATAATTTTGGATGATAGCTGAATTATGAAAACAATGAAATATATTGTTAACATTTTTTAAATGCTTTCTTAGTTTAAGGCACTATACTTACTACTTTACAAACTATATCTTAATTTTCAACACAACTATC